TCCATCAGAGTGTCAGCATCCACCCGGCACCCAGCTTTTGGATCTTAAAAAAAAAAAAAAAAAAAAGAAGAAGTGTGTGTGTGTGTGAGAGAGAGAGAGGGAGAGAGAGGGGGAGAGAGAGGGAGAGAGAGAGGGAGAGACCTTCCACTTCATAGCAGTAAATGTGACCCCCTCAGTACACCCACATCTAAGCAGGCAGATCAGACCAGGAAAGAGTGAAGGGAGAGGCAGAAACCCTCCCCACGGAAGCTTTTGTCAGTTCTCAGTGTAATTTCCTGCAGTTTTACATAGTGGTGACATACGGGACTTTCAGCGCTTGGGAAAAGCCGAGGGTCACGGTTTCAGAGATGGCATCTCGCGTCAGGGAAATACCCGGGTTCTGAGGCTGGATCCGGCTCTGACTCTCCGGCCGTGTGAGCGTCGTGGGCAGTCCCCTCCGTGAAGCGGGGTGTGGGACCCTTACTCACCTCGGGTGGAGCAACAGTGACGATAACGTGTGTGGTGGCGGAATGCGCACCGTCTTGGAGTCACGACGCTGTGTTTGAATCTTGGCAGAGCCATTTGCATCCCCCTGAACATGTTGCTTCATCCTGAGTCTGTCCCCGTGAAGTTGGTGAAAGTTGATGAGATGTAAATAATGTCTGTGAAAACTAGCCTGGAGCCTGGCACACCCCCAGCTGTGCCCGTTCCTGGCTCTCCCTCCCGCTCCCAAGCAGCCCCTGCGCTCTTTCCTCTTAGGTGTGTGTGGGGCACGCATGGGCAGGAACCCCAGGTGGGGCACTGTTGGGGCCTGCCAGGCTCTGGAGAGGGGACAGAGGCTGTGCCTCCCCTGGCACAGGCTGGCACCTGCCATTCCTTTCGGTCCACATCTGGGCCTCGCAGGAGGGGCTTCTCCTCGGTTCTGTGTCAGAACTTGGCCATTTCCCTCCCCTCCCCTTTCCTACTGGGTCCCGGGGTCCCTGTCTTTGCCCCCTCTCCTGGACACAGAGGGAGACAGAGGAGCAAGACGGACTGGGGTCTGCTCTCAGGCTCACAGGTGCTGGGACACAGGGAGGGCAGAGAGGCTTCACCAGAGAAGGAGATGTTGCTGGAGGTGGGGAGACGTGCGGGGGTGCGGCCGGAGCAGAGGCGGCCCCCTGAAGGCAGGGGGAGAGAAGCTGGAGGGGTCCTGACCAGTGGGAGCTCTTTGTTGCTGCTGAGAGCAATGGAGGAGCCTCAGATGGCCTTCGTGTCCCCCTGACACTCACTGCCAGGGGCTGTGCTGAGCGACAGACGTGGGTCAGATGTGAGCCTCGGTCCTGCGAAACACCGCTAATGCTGGTGGTGAAAACAGCCGGTCAGGTGACTGGGAGCTGGCACTCGGCCTGAATTATCTGATTCTCGCACAGTCCAGAGGTACATCCTGATAGTATCCTGGTTTACCCACAAGGAGATGGGGAGCTCCTTTCCCAGGGTCTCCCTCCAGTGAGGGGCGAGAGCTGAAGCTGAATCCAGTCCGTTCAGGCCCCTGGAACAAAACACCGAAGACCGGGCGGCTTATAAACAACAGACATGTGTCTCCACCATTCTGGAGGCTGGGGAGTCCAGGAGCCTGGCGCTGGCGGAGTTGGTGTTTGGTGAGGGCCTTCTGGTTCACAGACCGCCGCCTTTTTGTAATATCCTCACTTGGTGGAAGGGACAAGGGATCTCTGGGACCTCATTCATAAGGGCATCGGTCCCACTCGTGAGGGCTCCCCCCTCACCACTTCCTAAAGGCTCACCTCCTAATACCACCACGTTGGGCATCAGCTGTTCAACATGGCTTTGGGGACACGGCACGGAGGTGGGGGTTGGGGATAACATTCAAACCATAGCAGAAATAACTCCATATTCTATCACTTCCCAAAGGTTGGAGGTCATTTATGCCGTGGGAGGAATGGGGTCAGGAAAAACATGAGGGATATGCTGACTTTTGTGTGTTTTTTTTTAAGTGGGTTGGATGAGGTGGATAGATGTGGGAAGGCCATTGGAGACCGAAGGAGCAGCTCAGCAAGAGCATGGAGCCGTGAGTGAGCAGGTGGGGCCTCAGGTGGGCGGAGTGGAAACAAGCGGCGGAAGGGCCTCCTGGCTGTAAAGCTCCGCTCTGGGCCGGTGGTGATGTGACCTGCTTTGTACGTAGAAAGAGCATCTGGCAGAGAGGACAGTGGTCTGGAGGCACCCATTACACGTTTGTTCACTAAACGGATGGAATTTAACAATTATTCCATGTTCCAGTCACTCTGCTGGACTCTGGGCTCTGAGCGGGCAACAAGGCAGGTGCTGTAAATGGCCAGTGGTTAGGATAGTCCAACGGAAGGTGACGAGACCTGGATTTCCGTGAAGCAGTGTGTCTGGGAGGAAGGGGTGGGTCTGTGGGATTCTAAGAAGATAAAATTAAAAGAACTAGATGGCCAGTGGGGCAGGGTTTGGCGGGAGAGATGAAGTATGTGAAGTAAAATCTGAGGCTTCTGGTTCATTGGAGGGAGGGAGCACAGGAGGAGCAGGAGCAGATGGGAAACATGTTAAATACATATGTACATCCCTGTGACAGAATCCTTAGGGAACATACATTTGATGTCTGTAGTTTGATTTATTTCAAGAGATTATCATTTAACCGAATCTCTGTTATAAACTTTTATATTTTTTCCAGGTTTTTCACTCTTATAAATAACATTGTATTAAACAGCTTTTTACAGAGGTCTTCGCCATTCTGATGGCTTTTAGGAGAGAAATTCACAGTCATTGGGTACGAACAGCCTTGAAGCTTTTGATTCATATTCAGATTGCAGTGTAGGCGAGTTCTATCGCAGCTCAGCACCACAAGCACTGAGAGACACACACACACTTATACACACACACACACACACACACACACACACATACACACATGGGGTGGGGGCAAAAGCAGGTTTATAATTGTGAGTACACAAAAAGGAGTTTATTCTTCTATTATTATTAATTACTGTCTTTTCCATACAAACAACTGTAAACTTACTTTTGCCGCACTCTATTTTAGAGGATAAAAATAGCATTTGGTTACACAAATTTGCATTTTTATCAATACTGAGTTTTTCATGCTTACCTTTTTTTTATGTTCTTTTCCCATTTTCAGGTGGTCTTGGTTTTTTATGAATTTTTAAAATATGTATTATTTGTGACAATTTTCCCCACTTCTGTTTCCTTCCTAATTTTGCTTATTATACTTTTTATGAACCAAAGCACAGAAAGTGTTTACAAAGTCAGAATTCATTGACTTTCTTCTTCATTGCTAACATTACACTAATGGTGAGGAAGCTCAGTGATGATATGTGCATCTAAATTTTCTTTTCCTTTTCCTTTTAGCAGGAGAGGCAGTGAGTGGCTCTTTTTTTCCTATGTAGCAAATTTTCAAATGTCACTTGCTAGGAAACTCACCTTGTTCCCACCGACGGTGCAGCTGCCTGTCTTACAGCCTAAGCGTGTGCATGCAGACTGATCTCTTCCCGGCCCTCTTGTCTCATTGATCTTTGTGTTGGTTCTTAGACATCTGTCAGTGTTTTAATCCTCGCAAACTTATAATATACTCTCATATCTAATTTTTAAATGTATCTGTTAACTATTTGGATGGGTTTTTAGAATCCTTTTGGTACATTTCAAAAAAAGAAATCCTATTGGGATTTCTCTTAGAATTAAGTTAAGCCTACCTTAATCTCGGAGGAAGTGGCATTGTGTTAATATTCAGCCTTCTCATCCAAGATATGGCTCGTCTCCCTTTTTTTTTTTCAAGTAATTTTTTTAGATCTCTCAAAGGATTGTAGCTTTTTTTTTCTCTCTCTCTCCAGATCCCACATACTTAAGTTTATTGATCAGTATTTGATTATTTTGTTGTTGTTCGGATTGCAAGTAGGATGGATCTCTTTTGTATTCTATCTGGTGACTTCCCTATTGGGAGTACAGATCCTATTAATAAATTATTTTACCCACTAAGTTTAGTTGATTCTTTCAGGTTTTCTGGGCAAATAACAAACTCTCTGCAAATAAGAGGCTGGAGCCCCTGGCTTGGTGATGCTTCCAGCCTGAGGGCTGGTCTGTGCGTTCCTCCAGCAGTACTCAGGAGCCCGGTTGTAAGGGTGGGAAAGGGTGGATGCCAAGGTCAGCGCTTCCCTGGGCTGGGGCCTCAGGGAGGCAAGGGGCCGGGAGTTGAACTCATGAGGGAGTAGCTGACGTGGATGCTTCAGGGTCTTGAACAGAAAGGCAGGGCTGAGGACGAGAGGGAGGGAGAGGGAGGGGAGGAAGTGGTGGCCTGGACTGCACACTGGGATGCCAGGTTTCAGAGCGGATGCCTTTCCTGTCTGATACCGAGATCACGGAGGGAAGATGGTCCCACTTTGCAGGTAAGGGAACGGAAGCTCAGAGAGCTTGCCAGGTGACCATTCGCCAGCTCCAGTCAGTGGCAGCCTGGGACTGGAGTGTTCCGGTCATTCTGTCTTTATTTTCCAGGTTCACTTTAGAACAGCTGGCTGAGAGCCAGGAGAGACAACAGAGGGGGAAGGAGGCGAGCCCAGCAGAGCAGATAGGAGAAAGAGGGCAGGCTCCTCCTGGCCCCCTCAGTAGCTGCGCAGGGTGGGGCCCAGCTGGACCGTTGGGTCTTCCTGATGACCCAGAGCCCCCTGATGACCCAGGCAGAGCAGCTCACTGAGCGTCCCAGGCCCTCGGCCCCGCCATGCAGCTCCCTCTGGATCCTCATTACACCCCGAGGCCCCCATTTGTCCACTGTTCCCACCACACACCCTTGTCTCTCACACTTCCTGCGTCCCCGGCACACACCAGGTCCTCCCTCCTCCCGCTGTGTTTACCCCGCGTGCCCCAGGTGCCTGCAGTGCTCTCCGCGCCCCCCCCCACCCTGTTTCTCATCTGCTTGTAAACCGCGTGGGCCCCTGCCCCTCCCACAGTCCCCTCGCAGCCGTGTGCCCGGCTCACGCCCCCCTGTGCCGTGTCCACAGAGTGCGTCGGACGGCTTCTGGAAATCCGTGGCCACCCGAGTGCCCAAGGAGCCCCCCGAGATTCGTATCCTCAACCCGTACTTCATCCAGGAAGCTGCCTTCAGCCTCATCGGACTGCCCTTCAACAACGGCCTCATGGGCCGCGGGGTGAGGGGCCGGGCCGGGCCGGGCCGGGCCGGGCATGGCGGGGAACTGGGTCCCGGGGACCTTGGGAAGAAAGAACAGGCGGACGGGAGCGGGGACGGGAGGAGGGACAAGAGGGGGGGTGGGTTCCGGTCCTCAGGAATGGAGCTCAGCTCTGGGGAGCTTCACGGAGGATCTCCGCCTCGCTCAGCCCTTCGCCTGACCTCTGCGCCCGCCCCTCCCCCAGAACATCCCGACGCTGGGCAGCGTGGCCGTGACCATGGCCCTGCACGGCTGTGACGAAGTGGCGGTCGCAGGCTTTGGCTACGACATGAACACACCCAACGCACCCCTGCACTACTATGAGACGGTGCGCATGTCAGCCATCAAAGAGGTGAGGGGCCGGGTGGGCCGGGCCGCGGGAGGGCGCTTCCAGCACCGAGGACAGGCTCCGACCGTTCACTGTGATGGTGAAGAGATGAGCCAGCGGCTGCTCCGGCCGCCCAGAGCTCCAGGAAGGTGCCCCTGCCCCAATGAGGAGGCCCGTTCCTGCCTGCGGGCCTCTGACCACGAAGCATCCTCTGTGCCTCTCCCCAGGAACCCAGCACCCTGTCCCATTTCCTTCCTGAACCTTCCCTCTCTGGCTCTCTCTCTCTCTCTCTCTCTCTCTCTCTCTCTCTCTCTGCACCTGCCTCCTCGCTGTTCCCCAGCCGTCGTGCGCTAATCTTGGCACCAGCTCAGCGCCACTCTCTCTACCTCAAGTCGTCTTTCTCCCAAAGGACTCCTTGCCCCCTCAGACAACCCACAAACATTGCCTCCGGGTCTCAGGACAGCCCCATACCTCCTCCACCCTCCCCATGGCCAAGCCCTGGAGCTCGTTATAACCCAGAGTTACCTACCGCCCAGGTGACCCATACGCTCAGGCTCCTTAAAGTAGAAGAAGCATTACCGTCCTCCCAGCCTGTCGCCACCTCCTGCATCTCCCCTCACAGCAGAGCCCACGTGGAAAATCAGCCCCTCTTCCGCCTTCACTTCTCCCGCAAGCCTTGCCCTGGTCCCGGCCTGGAGCCTGGACCTCTGGGGTTAGCACGCTGAGGAGCTTCTCTGCTCCTGCATCGTGTGGGGTCGCTGGAGAACTCCATCATAGTTCTCTAACTGTAGGGGTTCTCATCTCAGCTAGCCCTGGTTCCTGCTCCCCAGGCTCACCCGCCCTTCTCCAGCCCCTGCCCCTCCTCCCGTGAGAACACGGCTGCGGTGGGCACCGCCCGCTCCTGCTGGGCTGTCCCCTGTGCACGCCTCACTCCCTCTCGGTCCTTCGCCCCTCGCAGTCTGGCTGCCGCTCTCTTGACACGACTCCTACCAAGGTCACCAGGGACTTAACCTCAAGGCTCCAGATCCGCTCCAGATCCCAGTCTCTCAAACACCTGTGCCGACCATTCCTTCCTCTTTGAAACCCTCTCCCGCTGAGACTTCTGAGCCAGTAGTTTCTGGGGCTCCGATTCACTCGCCAGTCTCTCTCGTTCTCTTGCTCAGTGTCCTTGATCGCAGTCCACCCCTTAAGAACCAGCATCATCCAGGGCTCCATCCCAGGCCGCCTCCGCTCACACTGCAGGTCCTCCAGGAGGCTGGTGTCCCCGGCCATGGCTTCCGTTACCATCTGCACTGTCAGGCTCTTTGGGTTCATTCGGGCTACCTCAAGCCATGGGAACTTACTTCAAGCTTACAAGGCAGACTCGGGAGCCTCAGGGGAACCAGAAACGGTCTTCCCCGGGCTCCTGCTGCCAGGAATGGCATTCAGGAGCGGAAAGCTCCTCCTGGTTGACTCCAGGACCGCCTTACCCTCACCAGCGTCTCCTGCCTCCTTGCCCCGGCCCCGTTAGTCCTTCCAGCTCTTTCTCTCTTGACGTATCTTCTTGCTTCTCTGTCCCCTGCCAGCACCCACTCCAAACTGTCCTCACGGCTTTTACCTGCTCCCGGCTTCTGTTTACTTATATATTTGCTCTCTCACACAAATCTTGTGAACACCGTCAAACATACTCATAAACATGGAGAAAAATAGAATGAACTTCCATGTAAACCTGAGAGACCGCGAGGGGCTTTCTCTGCCGTGGCGAGGAGTGTGGGCCTCGCTCTGAAGGCAGAAGCGTGTGAAGCCGGGGATTAGCATGCAGAAGGCTTACTGTGGGTGCAGCCTGAAGTAGTGGGCTGCGAGGCAGGAACAGAAACCAGTTAGCAGGCTGCCCAGCAGACTAGGCAAGAGATGAAGACTCCTGGCCCGGACGCAGCAGAGAAATCCAGGCTGGAAGTGTGCATCTGTGAGTTGTGAGCACAACGGCACGTTCAGACCCAGGCCAGGCACGTGTGAAATATTCCAGGGAGACGCAGACTGGGAAATGCAGGTCGTTGGCACCCTAGGAGCACCAGCATTGAGCGACGGGGTGAGGGAGGAGGAGCCAGACGTGAGACAGAAGAAGAGCTGTGGGAAGGAAGACTCTCTGAGAGTGGCCAGTGAGTGGGATGGACATCTGCCTCCAAAATCCTGGTGAGGCTGGGACACGGGACCAGAACGGCTCCCCAGGCCATGGACGGTGCAGGCAGCGTAGTGCCGAGGGCTCCGGTCACCCCCTGTATGTCCGCCCGGGGGAGGAGTTGAGAGAGAGCACCCTCTCGGTGGCATTGCCTGGGCCAAGAGAGCTCCACCCCAGGCAGACTTTGTGTTTACTGTTACACTGTCAAACATACTCATAAACACAGAGAACAACATACCCAACTTCCATGTAACTGCCACCTGTCCCGTCCGCCCCCCCCCCCCCCCGACGCTCCCCTCCCGCCCCCTGGTGAGCAGCACATGGCCAGTGTGGTTTCATCTGTTTCTTCCTCATACTTGTACTCCCCACTGATTATTTGGAAACAAGTCTCAGATATATCATTTCAGCCAAAAACATTTCAGTAAGTTTTTCCAAAAGATAAGGACTATTTTCTACTATCACAATACCGCGATGACACCTAGAAAAATTAATCATAATTTCTCCATATCATCAAATATCTGGTCCTTTGCTGACCTTTCACACCTCAGTGACTCCCAGGGGGCGCCCTTGAGGCTGGTCTGTCAGACTGGTCCCCTCCCTGGGGGTGGGGCAGGGGTGGGGAAGGAAAGAGCTGTATGAGCGTCTCCATTTGCTTGGCTCCTGGCGCTGCCATTCCTCCAGGCCTCCCATCTAATTACCTGTGAAATCTAGTTCCATCGGACACATATATATTGAGCACCACTCGGAGCCAGATTGTCCCTGCCTTCAAAGGGGTGAGACAGATGCTTGCATCTTTAAGAAATGAGAACAGCCGGGACCGGTTTGACTCAGTGGATAGAGCGTCAGCCTGCGGACTGAAGGGTCCCAGGTTCGATTCCGGTCAAGGGCATGTACCTTGGTTGCGGGCACATCCCCGGTAGGAGGTGTGCAAGAGGCAGCTGGTTGATGTTTCTCTCTCATCGACATTTCTAACTCTCTGTCCCTCTCAATGCCTCTCTGTGTAAAATAAACAAAATATATTAAAAAGAAAAGAAAGAAAAAGAAATGAGGGCAAATCATCCAGGGCTCTGCAGCCGCAAGGGCCACGCGCTGAAGGCGGAGAAGAGTGACAGGTTGGAGAGAGTTGACTAGATCAGAGTAAGGACCAGACAGAGCCGTGAGTTCTCGGCACCGCTAGATCGTGGCCCTGACATCGCTGTCGTGCGGCCCAGTGCTGGCAGATGCAGCAGAGCAGTCAGGTGGGTCCAAACCCTGCACCCGACTGTGTGACGAATGCCAAAACAGGGCTATGGGTGCTCATTCATTCATTTAATCCTCTTCCTTTCTTTGAGAGTCTTAGTCACCAAAGCTTCCTGGTGAGTCCCGGGGATCGGAGAGAACCTGAGCCGAGGTGCAGTCTCCCCCCAGGAGAAGGCAGCCTCCTCCCTGTAATTTCCACGCGAACCGTGAGACGGGCCCGCTGCCCTCTGGCCTACTGGCCCCTCTGACCCGAGAGGCCGGTTTCGTCAGCGGCCCCCAGGCCTGGAGGAGGGGGTTGCGTCAGGCCGGAGAATGACTAAGCCACCCCCACGAGGCTCTTTTCAGCAGGGCCACCCCCGGGCCTGGGCAGGACCCGGTGACTCACATCGCCAGGCCTAGGGCTTAGGTGCCCCAGACGCGCTGCTGGACGAGGCGGGTTGAAGCCTTTGCGAACAAGATTGGAAAGCCTGTGTCTCCGAAGGTTACAGGAAGTGAAGAGGCAGCCCTGGGGAGCGAGGGGGTGAGCTGTGGCACAGCGCATCGGAGGGTGGCGGTCCGAACAGGGCACTGCGCTCCGGGAGGTACACGTGAGCGGGACTGTGTCCTAGCAGCCGCCGAGGCCGCCCCCCCACTAACCACCTCTCCATCTCTTCCCTCCCAGTCCTGGACACACAACATCGAGCGGGAGAAAGAGTTCCTGCGGAAATTGGTGAAAGCGCGTGTCATCACTGACCTGACCAGTGGCATCTGAGATGGGCCCAGCACATGGCACGGAGGTCCCAGCGCCACCACCAGCAGGCAGCAGCCGCTGCCACCTGCCCACTTCACTGGCCTCGGTCCGGCCCCGCCCGAGAGGCGCCGGAGTGCTGAGACCCGGAGAAGGACAGTGCCAAGCGGCCCCAGGGGTGGCGAAGCCTCGGTAGGGCAGCCAGAGCTGTGTCCGCTCAGAGGCCAGCGCTCGGCCTCGCCCTCGGCCCGGATCCCTGAAGCCAGAGCGCCAGGAGGCCGCTGGCCGTTCCCCACGGGCCCAGCATGCCGGAGGTGGACGGGAGGCAGCGAGGCGGCTGCCGGAATTACTTCTCCAATCAGTGTTCGGTGTATTATCATTTTTGTGAATTTGGGTGGGGGGGGTAGGGATAATTTATTTTTAAATAAGGTTGGAGATGTCGAGCACGGCCCACGTGCCATGCAGAAGGAGGCCTGGAAGAGGGCCCGTCCGGCGGGGGGTGCCAGTGGGCTCCCTGCGGAGTGGCAGTGCCATGACGAACCCGTACTCCGCTCCGGAGCTGCAGGGAGGTGGGCAGCAGCTCGTGCCAGCCCCCTCCAGCTCACGGCACCGCTTGGCCTTCCCTGGGGAGAAGATGGGCTACTCCCACCTCACCAGCTGCCCACTGTCCCGCTGGGAAACCCCGGAGCCATCCTTTATAAGCCAACAAGACAGCCCCTGGGCTGGAGCAGAGGGAACTCGGAGCTCAGGAGGCGAGGCCGGGCCCAGCCCAGAGGGAATGGCCGCTCGCCAGCTGCTACTGATCCGTAGGGGACAGTGGCCCAGGCCTGGACTGGCCAGCGTGGTGGCTCTTCTGGGTTTTCAGCGAGACTGCCAGGTCCTTGGGTTCTGCCTTGAGCCTGGACCAGAGGGAAGTGAGGCTTACGGACCTTACCCAGGCCGCGGCAGCCGTCCTGGGCAGCCACCATGGAAGCAATAAAGCTCTTCCCTGAACCTGGCCTCCTCTGCTTGCTTTCTCTTACTTTCCTAGAAGAAACAGGAACCCGGGGCCCCAGCAGCCGCGGTAAACCCTAGGGCCATCTCTTCAGCTCAAATTCCTGGGTTTTTTCACTTCTGTGTCAGCTGCAGGCCCCGGGCATTCTGGGGCCTCTCTGGTCCCACACAGTCCTGCACTTTCTGCCTTTAAAGAAATAGATGAGACATCAGAGCCTGCCCAGAGGGCAGGGGATTGAAGCCCACGTTCCAGGACAGTGCCTCTGGGCCCCACAGCCCCGTCACTGCAGGGACAGGTTCCTGAGCCCCCGACACAAGCCCACAGACCTCACCCGTTCCTGGCACTCCCGGCTGAGCCCGGACAGGACTGCCCTCCCCCCCAGGCACACCCTCTCTCACTCCGCTCTAGGCACTCTGGCGAATATTAGAAAGGTTGTCTCTTCCCATCTTACCCCCTGAGAGCCCGGAATCTGTCCCCCGACCCTTCCCTAGAATCCCCATGCCGACCTGAGAATGGGCAAACACAGGCAGCACCTGAGACCATGGAGTGAGCTCCCGGCCAGAGCTGCCATCTTGGCTGGGACCCTTGCCTCTCACCTGCCATCCCCATCGAAAAGGCCTAGCCACTCCACCGCCATCCCACGTGTGTCCTTCCTGCCGTGCTGCTTTCTCAGGCCAAAGCCGCCTCCACTGAAGGGAAAGCAAGACCCTGACGGAGGGACAGGCAAACCCAGAAACTCCCTACGGATTCTGCTCGGCGGCTGCGAAACACTTCCATGCACATCGGATTCTGCGTGCACAGTGCCCCCTAGAGTTGTACAGGGCATAGGCAGCGTGCCTGCAGGCCAAAGCCAGGACTGATAAAGCCCCAAGGAAGCCACCCCAACTGGGCAGCCGGCTGTGAGAGGCAGCAGACGTGGGGCTGCTCACCACCTGGTCTCCTGCCGCTCAGGGGTCCTTCAGGCCCGCAGGCTGCCCCCCACCACCCCAGTTCTCCGCAGTCTGGCTTGTGGCCTCCACCGGTGCCCAGCACCCACTCTCACAGAAGCAGTGGCCTCAGCCTTGGCCGTGCACCGGAAGCACCTGTGCGGACCTGGAAAACGGCATATGCCCACACCGAGGTTCTGAGTCAGGGCTGGGGTGGAGCCCAGAGGCGGGCAGTTTTAGGAGGTCCACGGGTGTCCGAGTGCACGGCCAGGCCATAGCTGGTCCACGCGCATTCCCTGAGCGCTTTCATTTCCATCCACGGTCCCCGACATGCCATCTCCAGCCCAGCTCCCTCCGCTCTGCGCCAGGCTGCAAATTCAGCTGCATCCTGAACTTTCCCGAAGGAGCATCCACAGGTCCTCCTGACTCAGCATGTCCATCCCTGAACTGAGCTCCCAGCCTCCCCCAGGGACTTCCCCTGCCAGAATGCATCCCCTCCACCTGGTCACCCGGCCTGGAGCATGCCAGCGTCTGCCCTCCCTCAGCCCATCAGTCTAGTGTAGTGTAATCTCACTCTCCCCACCACTCTGCTTCCCGCTCACTCCCTCAGCAGCCTCCTGACCTCGTCACCCCTTACCCCCAAACCCCTCTCCCCACGCCGCAGTCAGAGCCATGTACGTCTGGTGCACCATGATTCTGCCTGAGCCCCTTCGGTGGTCCCTGGGGGCAATAGGATGAAGTCCAGGCTCCCGGGCATGACACAGCATCTGGCCTTTCTTACCTCTCTACACGTTACTCACCCCACTTCCACCCCACCTGCCAACTTGCCATAATTAGGCTCCTGAAATACTATCCCCCAGCTCCTACTCAAGCATGAGCACTCGAAATCCTCCTCCTCCGTGACCCTCCCTTCCTCAGCCTTGGGCACCCACTCCCAGCGGCGGTGTGCACAGGTGTGTCCCTCCTCCCAGCCCCGGGCTGCCAGGATGCGGGGCGGTGGGGCGGCCGGAGCAGGGTCAGACATGGAAGCCCCAGCCCAGAGGCTGGCCCTCCCAAGCGGGGCCGCTAAACGAAGACGCTAGCAGCGGGCAGGAGAGCAGAGAGCAGTCCCTGCAGGGTGGCCAGCCAGGGCCCTGAGCCGGCGCCAACTGGAGGGGCCGGTGGCCCAAGGCTGGGACGATCCTGTCTCCTCCCTCTCCCGCCCTCAGCCCGGCCTCCCCGCTCCCTGCTTCGCGTGCCTATAAAACTGAACGCCCACTTTCCTCGCCTCTCCGCCGCTCAAGTTCTCCACGCTGTGTCCTGGGTTTTCCACTTCCCAGTGTCCTCCCCTTCACCTTGGGGGGCCTAGCTGAGCCCGGGAGGGGTGGGGGCCGAATCCCAGCGGGTGGAGCAACCAGGTGAACCCTGAAAGGTAGGGCGGGGCAGGGGCGCTGGGGCCCCACCCCGGGATCCGGTGACGCCGGGACTGGAATTTGACACCGGTCGGCGGCAGGCATGAGGCTGCTGAGGGATGGAGTTGGGCCCGGCCCCCAGACACGGCCCACGGGCTCCACCAGCAGCAGGTCCCTCGGGCCGCAGCCCTGGCTGCATCCTGGACCCAGAGCCCCGCACTCGAGGTAAGCCGGCCTGCGGGCCCACCCCCCTCTCAGCCCTGGAGTCAGGGGGAGCGGGCAGGAGAGGCGCCACCGCTTTCTCACCTCCTCCCTCTCCTGGGCCCAGCGTGCAGCTCGCTGCCCCTCCCAGCCCCCCTCCGCCCCTCTGGTCGCTTGCGGGACGGTGCTGGCCCTGCCAGCCCACTGTAACGTGAGGCTCCTGCTGCCGCTACTGGGTGCAGACTGGCTGCCAAGGCCACACTTTGGGCTGAAAGAGGCGCTGCCAGGTGCATAGCCCTGGGCATGAGCCTTCTCAGCTGCGGGGAAGGTCCAGCACTGGCCCCAGGGACGGTGCCTAGAAGAACAGGGTGCAGGACCCTCCTGGTGAGTCTCTGGCTGCAGATGGGGAGGCAGAGGCGGGGAAGCCAAGTGGCCCCAAACCACCAGAAGGGAGAGAGGGGCTAGCTGCCCTCAGGAGACCTGCTCCTGGGGTCCCCCTAAGCACAGGGGGTCCTGACGGCTGCCTTGCCTCGCTTTCCCTCATGAGAAAAGTTGCCGGCCTGGCCCCTCAGGGCCCCTATTCAGTTAGTTGGACATACCTGGACCTGAGGTGGGCCACACCTGGAAGGCCTGGGGAGGTCTGACCCACAAACACGCAGGTGACCACTGGGACCCAACAGCAGGCCGGCTTGTGGTGCCCCAAGGGTGTTTGGGAGTGCCAGCCAGGGTGGGTTCACTAAATCTGGTGGGGCCCCGAAAGGCTGGCGGGGCTCAGGAAAGATGGCCCGTGGAGGAACCTTCGAAGAGTGGGCGAGCTGTTAGACCCACAGGAGAGGAAGGGGACAGACCTGGAGCAGCGCGCGGGGCAGCTCAGCGCTCAGACCAGCCTGGTGTGGAGCCCTGGCTGGCCCTCCTGGGAGTTGCTCAGGCCTGAGTCTGGCTGAGGGAAGGGAAAAGCCCACCCTACGTTGAGTCTGCATGCTTGGCAGATGCTGCCCTCTGGTGGCCATTGGGAGCCATGGCCCAGGCCCCATGTTCTTAGAGGGCCCGTCTGCTGGCTCTTGAGGGACATCTGTGATCAAGAGAGAGAACTCATGTGGCTCTGGGTCCACAGACCACAGAGGAACAAGGGTCAGCAGCATTGGGTGGGTGGCACAGGCTGAGACCGGAACCTCACTACCATAAGAAAACTTGGACCAACCAGCAAGCTCCCTAATTCTTCTTGTATGGCATGGAGAGAAAGCTGTTTGTGGGATCAAGGGGGTCCAGCTACTCCCTTCTGGCAGCTCCAGCCCTGCAGCAGGAAGACTGGGAAGGGGGGTAGGACGTTTCCAAATACCCCCTTAACTTGTTGGACTTCTAGGAGCTCATTTGGAAAATGGGGATTATACCATTTACCTCATGGAGTTGTAAGGACAGAGAGAGAAGTGAGAACGTGCAAAGGACCAACACATAGTTAAGTTCCTTTTTAAAAAATATATATTTCATTGATTTTTTATAGAGAGGAAGGGAGAGGGACAAAGAGTCAGAAACATTAATGGGAGAAAAACATTGATAAGCTGCCTCCTGCATGCCCCCCACTGGGGATGTGCCAGCAACCAAGGTACATGCCCTTCACTAGAATCAAACCTGGGACCCTTCAGTCCTCAGGCCCAGGCTCCATTCACTGAGCCAAACCGGTCAGGACACAGTTCAGTTCCTGATGCAGCTACTTCCCCTGGGTTGAGTCCACCTATCCACCCCCTTGTCCCTCACCTGGAGAATCTGAAATGGAGGGATGACCTCCTCAAAGATAACTCGTCTCTCAATGTCCCAAGCTGCCTCCAGAAGAGGGTGGGGGAACAAGTCCACTGATGGGAGACCCTGGTATTGACAGAGATGGAGCCTGGACGAGGAGGCCCTTCCGTGCTGCCCTGCTGGCCCCGGCCTAGGAGGCAGGTGAGTGGTCCTCCCAATGGCTCCCACCTGGCATGGAGGACGGCGGCTGGACTGGGAGGGAGAGCAGGGTTTGCTCTGGGCAGGAGTCGGAAGTGCAATGTGAAGCGGTCAGGGAAGGACCAGGAGTTTGGAGGAAGGTTGATGCCCTCCTGGGGTGTGATTTCTCCTCTAAGCTCCCTTAGGCAGCAGACTCCAACCTAAGCCCTTCCCGACTCTCCGCGCCCAACTAGAAGCCCCTCTCTGCTCTCTGCTGCCCCCGCCCCCTTCCCGGGCTCCCTGCGCCCCGGGACCACCTGGGTGCCCTCTGCTTCCCTAAGATTCCACCTTGTCTCTGCGCAGCCCGCCCTGTGGCCGTCGCTGGCCACCCTGGTGCTGCTGAGCAGCGTTGCTGAGGCCTCCCTGGGCCTGGCGCCCCGCAGCCCCGCCGCCCTCGACGGCCCCGCGCCGGCCCCGGCGCCCCCCGCCGGCCACCTGACCGGTAAGTGGAGGGCAGGGCGCGGGGAGGCTGCGGGGCGGCCCGGGACCCCGCGCGCGCACGCAGGACTCCAACTCCGTCTCCCTCCAGGTGGCCGCGCCTCCCGCTCCTGCGGCGGCAGAGCCCGGCGGCCGCCCCCGCAGCCGTCCCGGCCCGCGCCCCCGCCGCCCGCGCCCTCGCCCGCGCCCTCCCGCGGGGGCCGCGCCGCGCGGGCTTGGGGCCGGGGCGTCCACGGGAGGCGCGGGAGCCGCGCGCGGGCCGCGGGGGCGCGGGGCTGCCGCCTGCGCTCGCAGCTGGTGCCGGTGAGCGCGCTGGGGCTGGGCCACAGCTCCGAGGAGCTGGTGCGCTTCGGCTTCTGCAGCGGCTCCTGCCGCCGCGCGCGCTCCTCGCACGACATCAGCCTGGCCCACCTGCTGGAGAATAAGGCCCTGCAGCCGCCTTCAGGCTCCCAGCCGGCCCTGCAGCCCTGCTGCCGGCCCACGAGCTACGAGGCCGTCTCCTTCATGGATGTCAACAGCACCTGGAGGACCGTGGACCAGCTCTCCGCCACTGCCTGCGGCTGCTTGGGCTGAGGGCTCTCCCCGAGATGTACGGACGGCACCCTTACACGAGGAAGTCTTCCTGTCTGGAAGGGACCACGGGCCTCAGCCAGGGATGGACACCGCCCGCCTCCGCTGGGCTTGTGATGGGCATCAGCCCTGCAGGATGAGGGACTGGCAGGCCTCACCTTGCTCGTCCCAGCCCTACAGACATCAGAGACCTCGGCTATGAGACCTTAGGACCGCTCACTTCTCACGGACTCTGGCACCGAGCAGGCCACAGAGCCAGGACTCCTCCTCTGGAGAACCCAGCAGAGTTTGAGGTCTCAGCCTCCGCCTGCCCAGGTCCTGGGGGGACAGAATGGGAGGAGACACACTGCCCTTGCACGGCTGAAGTGCCTATAGTGGAGTGGCCTGGTACTCACTCCAGAGACCTGGACCCCTATTTATTATTTCTAAGTTATTTATTTACGTCTGTGGTTTGTCGGATCCTTTCCGGGGCAGTGGGGGCTGGATGGGTAGAAGCCGCTGGCTGGAGAGCCTGCCACGGACCTTCCCACTCACCACGGCAGGCTGGCTCAGCAATCGCAGGCCGAGCCGGCATCTCCGGCTGCTTCCTCTAACGGGCAGCTCTGGGGCGTGGGGCCATGGAACAGAGTGGGTGGCAAAGATTCGTTCGCCGGTCCTGGCAGGCTAGCTTCCAGCCCCTTGCACAGTCTCCAGCACTTGGGGTTTGGGGTTAGTGGGAGAGAAAGCCCTACCCTGGTAACTGTAGGCATCCTGGGGGGTCTTGCTTTAATGGGTAATGACACAGAAAACCACACATTCTCACTCCCCAGTCACTGATCAGTGCCCTCCCCTGGGGCCCTCTGATGGGTGTATTCACTGCCTCTGATGGCGGCTGGTCCCCTATGGGGAGCTCACCACCCACATTGCACGAAGCAATCCAGGACAAGAGAGCATCTGCAAAGGCCAGTGGGAGGCTGGGGGGGGGGGGGGGGTGTGTGAAGCATGGAGCATCAAAGGGCTAGGGATGCAGGAACAGAGTGAGGGCCCCAAGAGGGTCCTGCATCTTGGTGGTGAGCAAGAACATTCATTCATTAATTCTACAAACATTGATTACATATCTCTTGTATGTCAGACACTGGGCAGACATCAGGGACACGGAAGAGAAGGGGATATGATCCTTGCCCTAAGGTTAAACTAGGAGAGACTGACGTGGAATACTTATATAAATAATTATTTAAGTGCAGTCTGGCAGACAGTTTGAGAGAGGACAAGAAGCTAAGAGTCCCGCACCTTCATCTGGAAGGAGGAAGAGGTTCGTGCGGATACTGTCCCTGAGTCGCCTCCAAAAGGTCAGTGCGATCCCTCTGAGCGTCTCTGCATGTCCCGTGAAACCTGGTTTCCTGGGTCCTACTCGTTTGCCCTGTGTGATGTTCTCCTTTGGGAGTGATGGGGGCCTGTATTTGGAAAGGATGCTGAGTCTGAGGAACCACGGGACATCCAGAGGGGCTGTCAGGAGGCAGTGGGCTCTGCTGGTCTGGGACTGAGGAGGGAGACCGGGGCAGACGTGAGCACAGGCAGTAGCTGTAGCCAGGGTGCAGGAGAGCATCCTGATGAGAGTGAGGCGGGTTCCGGGTAGGATCCCTCTGGCGTTTGACACTGCTGGCCAACATTCCTTCCAGGCTGTGACGTGCCTGCCTGCTTTGGCACAGGTGTCCCTTTGGCCAGAGTGTGGAGCTGGCAAGAGTTCTCTGAGGGCTGTGCTCATTCTGGGTCAAGGAGGGGAAACCTGTGCTTCCACTCTTCTGTGTTCACTGCCCCAGTTCTAGGTGCTCTCTTGCTACCCTCACACGCCCCCTTGGCCCCTCTCTCTACCTCCAAACTGATTCAGGATCCTCAGTCTCCAAACACCCTTGCACCTCCCAACCCCCTTCTTTCTCCCACCCCCCTACCCCCTCCCCCGAAAGAAAATGGCACTAATGTATGCCATACAGTTAACACACAGCTCCTTGGCCCTGGGTGAGGGTAAAAGGGGACATCCTGTTAATTCCAGGGTCAGTGGGGCCAGAAGTCCCTGCTAGAAAGATTTGAATGCTTGGCCTAGTTCTCATATCCCCCAACCCCTGCCCCTCATGGACATTTCTGCTCTCAGAGCCACTTAAGGAGACAGGTTAAAGCCATTTCTGACAATGCTCACAGCAAGAGGCAGGTCTGAACTCAAGCCAACGGTGCTGAGGGAGTAGAGTGTCCTCCCCAACTCAAACCTGCATTGTGGACCCCAGGGAGGTTGTACCCAGCATCTCACAACATCCCAGGTGACATGACAACTTCTCCAAGAGGAACATTCCCACAGAACCAGTCTCACTCTGCAGCTCACAACAACTCAAACCCCTCTTTTAACAAAGACACCACAAAGTAATAAAGCCGTCCTCCCCAAAGAAAACAATAGCTGCACTTCTTTTCATACAACTTAGCAGAGAGCACCTGGCACATGACCTCACCAGGCAGAGAACTTTCACCCCCGGGGCCACAGGTGGCTTTAGTATCTGCATTTCCAACTTATTCCTTGTTTTACATTCAGAACTACATTGCCCATTTGAGTGCCCTCCCGGAACAATGGTGTGGTCTCCTCCAAAGGGTATCGAGTCACTGCCACTTGTAAGACAGAAAACTACAGATGTCTTTGAAATGACTTTTTTTTTTTTTCACTTCCAGGAGTACCCAACACTTTCCTCTAGGTTTATTTCATTCAAGAATCAAGGTTCAGGGTTCCATGTGCTCCTTCTACACTTGCCAATTGCTTTCTCCTCTCTTGCCCAGGGATTGCCATATTTCCTTAGGCTGAAGATGCCTGTGGTGGAGTGTATGTGGACTGAGTGACTAGGGTCTCATCTTGAAAAGCATAAGATGGGTAGAAAGTTGAGAGATCAGAGAACAATCTAGGAGAATTGTGCCATATGAGATCGCCTTTTGTATTCAAAGGAGTGCTTCTTAACTTGTTTTAGAGTTGGAGAATATGATAAAAGCTAAGGATCTTCCCCTAACCCCTGCAAAAGCTCGATCCCCAGAGTGAAACCTGCAGGAGGCAGTCAATCAGTATTGATATTTCTGTCTCCCTCTCCCTTCCTCACTGAAATCAGTAAAAATATATTTTTTAAAAAATTCCCCAAATTAGATGTTCATGGCCCTTGAGGTGTCATACCCTGTTCTAGATACTATTATTAATGTCCTCCTGTAGCTAGAATAATTCCTCCATCTGTAGTCAGGATTCCGTATCAGGACACTTGGTCTCAATTATTTACAAGCCTCCCCATTCTTCAACCTTTTAAATTGAGTATCTCCTTTCCCTCTTAATTTAAACCTGCTCAAATGTAACACAGCATTGAACAAAATTGACACTGTGATTTTATATATATATATATATATATATATATATATATATATATATATATATATATATACTTTCACCTCTCCTTCACCAAAAGAGCTCATGCTGAGGTCACCAGTGACCTCATCATTACTGAACTCTTGTCCTTTGAACTCTCAGAAGTACTCAAATCTGTCATTCCTCCTTGAAAACCTGTCTTGCATTGACTGTCTTGATCCCATGCTCTCTTTTTCGTCCACCCCTCCCGCTGCTCATTCTCAGGCTACTCTTGGGCTTCTTTTCCTCTCTCTGCCTCTCACGTGTTCCTCGAGGCTTTGATATAGGCCTTTCTCTCTTCCCATTCTACTCTCTCCCTGAGCTACATTCTCTACCCCCATGATTCCAGTTACTTCCATACCAATGGTGATTACATTATATCTCCAGCCTGGACCTTTCTCCTGAGCTCCAAGTCTTGGAATCAGTTACTTTATTTTGGCCTTCCTGTTTTCTCTTCCCAAATCTCCCATACTTCTACTCTTTCCTCCTTCGACTTATCCTACATACGACAGGTAGACTTTTCTAAAATGCAAATCCAGTCATCAACGCCCAGCTGAAATCACATGATGGTTTCATATTGCATTTATGATAAAGTCTAAACTCATTCAAGCGTCTACTGCTCCCAACTTGTCTTTCCAACCTCACCTGTTACTCATCCCTCCCTCTTCCTCACCCCACCTATACCCCCTTAGACTGAACACAAATTACTAGCTGTACTTTAAATAGTTTTTTCTTTTAAAAAAATATATTTTATTGATTTTTTACAGAGAGGAAGAGTGAGAGGATAGAGAGAAATATCGATGAGAGAGAAACATAGATGAGCTGCCTCCTGTGCACCCCCCACTGGGGATGTGCCTGCAACCAAAGTACATGCCCTTGACCAGACTCGAACCTGGGCCCTTCAGTCTGCAGGCTGACACTCAGCCAATGAGCTAAATCGGTTAGGGCTAAACATTTTTAAAAATATATATTTTATTGATTTTTTCACAGAGAGGAAGGGAGAGGGATAGAGAGCCAGAAACGTTGATGAGAGAGAAACATCGACCAGCTGCCTCTTGCACACCCCCTTCCAGGGATATGCCCGCAACCAAGGTACATGCCCTTGACCAGAATTGAACCTGGGACCTTTCAGTCTGCAGACCGACGCTCTATCCACTGAGCCAAACCGGTTTCGGCTAAACATTTTCTTTTCTTTTCTTTTCTTTTTTTTAAAATATATTTTATTATTTTATACAGAGAGGAAGAGAGAGGGATAGAGAGCCAGAAACGTTGATGAGAGAGAAACATTGACCAGCTGCCTCTTGCACACCCCCTACTGGGGATGTGCCCGCAACCAAGGTACATGCTCTTGACCGGAATCGAACCTGGGACCTTTCAGTCCCCAAGCCGACGCTCTATCCATTGAGCCAAACCGGTTTTGGCTAAACATTTTCTTGATAAAGATTTGTTGAGTGACTGGATTCCACTTGGACTTTGCTTACCAGCTAATTGAGCACCTCCTTCCCCATTCAAGTTTCTCCTCCTGAGGGAAGCCCTCCTCTGCCTTCTCTGGCCTAGGTGGCTATTGCCAAGGCTGTTTTCCTCTACTGAACCCAGGTATAGAGGTCTACCCCCTCCGGGTAGCTGGCAAGAGTTATTAAAAGGATAAGTGATGCCCTGCATAGGGTGGCTCAGTTGGCTGGGTGTCGTGAAGTGCACCAAGAGGTTGCTGGTTTGATTCCCAGCCAGGGCACAAGCCAGGGTTGCTGGCTCTATCCCCGATAGGGGGCGTGCAGGAGGCTGCCTATCCATGTTTTACTTTCACATTGATGTTTCTTCTTTCTCCCTCTCTCTTCTCTCTCTCTCTTTAAAATCAATAAAATAAAATAAAAACACACTTTTTTTCCAAGGAAAAAGGGCAAGTGGTAAAGAGAAGGGACTGCTGGGGTCTGCCCCTGAGCAATATCTATTGGTGATCTCTGATACCCTGAGTGTCCAGGGGCAAGATAAGCTCAACTTTCCCCAACCTGTTTCCTCATCTGAAAATGTTGCATAAAATTCCCTGCCTTCTAATTGTTGAGAACTGATGCGTAAGGTATGCAAAGTACTGTTCGTAGCACTTAGGTGTGAGCTGGTCTTGTTCTAATTACACATAAATAGAAGTTGCTTCCAAGAACCTTATGAAATTCTCCGAGCACTGTCCATGGTATGTGGCTTCCTGGTTGCTCACTGGGTGGTTCCGAGAGCCATCCTTTTTTTATTCCCAAGGCGCACCGAGCCTCCTTTCTTCTCATGGTACTGACGCCTCCTCCCCACACGGTCCGGTTCCTGGGTCTCAGGGTGCACCCGAAGCAGAGCACCAGAGTGACCGATCATCGACACCGCTCCTCGCCCCGCCCCGAACTCACACACCTTCCCCCCCCCCCCCCCCCCCCCCCCCCGACCTGGGCTCCCACCTGCAGCCCCTTGGGTCACACACTCCTAAGGAGCTGCGGGGAATTGACTGGGAATTGCCTGTCGACCCTAGCAAGCCTGGGGCTCCCGGGGCCCCGCGGGGCCCCAGCCCACGTGCTCCGGGCCTCCGCCGAGAGGCGCCCTGCTCCCGCTAGGAGCAATAGAGACTACATTTCCCAGGATGCGTAGCGGCGGGACCTCGGCTCGGCGTGGGCCTCGAGCGACGCGCCGCTCCGTCGCCTGATCCGGGGCAAGAGGGCTGGCACGAGGACAGGCCCGAAGACCCGGAATGAGTTTCCGCGCAGTTCCGCTGGGCCGTGCCGGGCTGTGCCGGGCCGGCCGGGTCAGGGCAGGCGCGGGGGAGGGTCGGCGCCTGAGTCGGCGGTGCCGGGGACAGGCGCTCGGGGCAGCCCGCGCCTCGCGGAGGTCCCCGCCCCGTCCCGGCCGAGCCGGCTAGCCTGTCAGTCACTGGGGCGGAGGCAGCGGCGGTAGCGGGGCCGGAGCCGGGCGGCGAGGAGAGTGAGGGCCAGGCCCAGCGGAGGGGATCTGCCACAGCCCCTCAACGTATGGACTCTTCGCCCCAGAGTGTCGATGCTGCACCCCCGCGCTTCGTTGGAACGCCTTCTGTAACCCGCCAAGGGCTCCTTCCCTCGTGACCTCCCTCCCACCCCAGTGACCTCCTCCTAGGACCCGGGAGCGCACTCCGACGAGGGTGTTGTGGGTACAGGCCATCGACCCAGTGACCTCTCACGGGCTGGGGCTCGGTTTTCCCCACGGGCCTCCCTCCCCATGACTTCCTTCTCACAGATTCTGGAAACAGAGCCGTGACCTACCACTGGGACCCCCGCCTGGAGAACTCCTCACTGTGGGCTCCTCCCCAGAACCCCCCCTCAGTGGCTCTCCTCCTAAGACCACCCCTTTTGGTGTCTGGCAAGCCCTCCAACCCCAATCGAGGTGGGGAGGCCTCGGCAGCCATGCCCACCCTGGGTCCCCTGTCACCACACCACCACTCCCTGGGCACTCAAGCCGGGGTCTAGCAAGGGGGCCAGCAGCCAAGGGGCTGGGGCAGGAGACAAGCCAGGGTCCCCCTCCCTGCTGGGGAGGAGCAGAGATGGACCGGCGGGAGGAGCAGCCGGGGGCTGCCGGGGCTGGAGCAGCACCAGCCTTGGACTTCACTGTGGAGAACGTGGAGAAGGTACGAGGGCCCTGGGGTGGGCACTCCAGTGACAGAGCAGAAGTTCTGGGCACAGACACTGATGCCAGGGCCCAGACCTGGGCTGGGTGCCCGCTGGGATGGTGCCCCCGGGACACCTGGCGTTTGCTGTCTCTGGGCCTGCAGGACAGCAGTGTGACCGTGTCTTAAAGGGCTCGGTTTGGCTTTCCTCAGACCTGGGTCCCCTGTGGATAGAGATGCTCGGGGGTCTCGGGATGGTCCCTCCAGCCAGGTTGGCCGTTCTCCAGCTCTGTGGGAGCTGCAGGAGCCGTGCAGCAAGAACCCAGGCACCCAGGAGACCTACAGCTCAGTCCCCAGGAGCCATCGGATGCTGAGCCATCCTGGGCCTTTTTGTGGAGCCAGGGGCTCGGAAAATAACCTGAGGCTAAAACCATCCGGGTTATGCTTTCAGACTTTCTTGGAGAAGAGCCCTTCTTTTATTGGATGAAGGCAGGCAGGCGTCTGGTGGTCCCCCTTTGTTTTGTACTGGGTCCCAGGGGCCTGGTTCTGCTGGCAGCCTCGGGGTTCCTTTCTACTCACCTGCCCATAAAGCTTCCTGCCATGCCCCCCGCACCCCCCCAGACTGCCCCACTGCCCGGTCCATCTTTTTTTGAAAACTGCTTCTCACCTACAGAGGCCGGGAATGCAGAATTACATCCTCCAAACCCCAGGGTTAATGGGGAGGTAGGGCTACCTTGATGGGAAATAAGGAATAGTCAGAGATAACTCGTTTGTTATTCTTGACCCCTGTTTGCCATGCCAAATGGTGAGGACGCATCCCTTCTGCTTCTGTTCTCTGCATCCGTGAGCAGCCAAACAGCAACAGCGGCTGTAACGGGCTGTCAGAGGGACAGGTAGAGCTAAGCCTACTTGGATGGAGACTGCTTAGGCGGTCAGAGTCCTGGTCTCGCTCTGCCACCCCATGGGACTGGGCAGTGTTGGCATGGTGGTGCGCTGTTCCGTGTGCTACCAGGGAGATGAGCCTCTGTTTTCTTGCTGGGTGACATCCCAGTGGCATTGGCACCGCGGGGATTTAGCTAGTTGAGAATCTCAGACTAGGCATTTGCCAGGGCAGCAGGCTAAGACTTCTCTGGGCCAGCAGTTTGGATCCTCCATGTGTTCTCTGGGGGTTTTCTCATCCCCCCTCTCCAGTGTGTTTCTGCACAAGGGCTTCCTGGCAGAGTCCTAGTCCTTCTCAGGTTTCACACTGGCTCTGGTGCCAGCATCTGGAGTGACCTAGGGAAGAAGATCCTGGGGGAGCTAAATGGAGCTTTTGGAGTTGATCGGAACAGCTGTGCCTGGGAGGGTCGGAGCCCCTCAGGTTGTTTCATGTTCTTCTCAGGCCTAGCTTCATCCCTGTGGAGCCATTCCTCCCACCTGGCCGTGCCCTTTACCTCATGCCTCCCCTGTGATGAGCTCAGCCTCCTCTGTGTGTGTGTGTGTGTGTGTGTGTGTGTGTGTATGCGCGCTAGCCTGTGGGGGTTCACTCTCTGAATCCATAATGCTTTGCTATAAGAAGAGGATATAGTAGAGCACATGTGTCAAACACACGGCCCGCGGGCCAAATCCGTCCCGCCAGGCCTTGTAATGTGGCCCGCACCGCGCTGTCATCACTGCACTCCGCTGCGTTTCCATCACAATGACAGTTTATGACTGTTCAGTAATCCATTCGGCCCGCGATTTAGGCTGGATTTTAGATTTTGGCCCCTTCTCTGATTGAGTTCGACACCCCTATAGTAGAGCATGAAGAAAGTTTAGGTTCTCAAAATATCGGCAGGGTCCTAGGTTCTCTCTTTCTGCTCAGTAACCACACACACACACCCACACACCCCCCCCCCCCCCCCCTGTCAGAAAGAGAGAGCCGTACTGCAGGACCAAATCACACCCTCTTTTCTGGGCTCTGGTAGGATCCAGAGTGGCCAGCACCTGCTCAATCCTGTGTTCTCCTGCAGGCGCTGCACCAGCTCTACTATGACCCCAACATTGAGAACAAGAACCTGGCTCAGAAGTGGCTGATGCAGGCCCAGGTCTCCCCGCAGGCCTGGCACTTCAGCTGGCAGTTGCTACAGCCTGACAAGGTGCCTGAGATCCAGTACTTTGGGGCCAGTGCCCTGCACATCAAGATCTCTCGCTACTGGAGCGACATCCCCACGGACCAGTATGAAAGTCTGAAGGCGCAGCTGTTCACTCAGATCACTCGCTTTGCCAGTGGCTCCAAGATTGTGCTGACTCGGCTGTGTGTGGCGCTGGCCTCGTTGGCGCTCAGCATGATGCCTGACGCTTGGCCATGTGCTGTGGCAGATATGGTACGACTCTTTCAGGCTGAGGACTCACTGGTGGACGGCCAGGGCCGCTGCCTGGCTCTGCTGGAGCTGCTGACAGTGCTGCCTGAGGAATTTCAGACCAGTCGCCTGCCCCAGTACCGCAAGGGCCTGGTGCGGGCCAGCCTGGCAGTGGAGTGTGGGGCCGTCTTCCCATTGCTGGAGCAGCTGCTGCAGCAGCCCAGCTCCCCCAGCTGTGTGCGTCAGAAGGTACTCAAGTGCTTTTCCAGCTGGGTGCAGCTGGAGGTGCCGTTGCAGGACTGTGAGGCCCTCATTCAGGCTGCCTTCGCCGCTCTGCAGGACTCGGAGCTCTTTGACAGCAGCGTGGAGGCCATTGTCAATGCCATCTCACAGCCTGATGCCCAGAGGTGAGCTGGTCCCCACCTTCCCAGAGCGGGGCAGTCTGCTTGGCCATCCATGTATCCGTCCATCCATCCATCTGTTCAGTAAACACTAATTGAGTGCCTACTGCATGTGCGGTCCTATGCTGGAGATACAGCAAGGAACCCATCAAGACATGGTCCCTGTCCCATGGTTCAAAGAGGGAGACAGACATTAGACAAGTAACCATCCAATGAATTACTCTGTTAAAATAGTTGACTCTTCTCTTTCTCTCAACCAAGTTCTGGCTGTTCCGCCCCTGACCGTATTGCAAATCTATTTTTTTTTTCCATCTCCACTGCCACCACTCTAGTTGAAGCTGTCATTACCTCTCCCCAGATTATTGTAGAGCTTTCTCACCAGTTCCCTGGTTTTTGCTCTTGTACCCTTCCTGCATTGTCCAAGCAGCAGCCAGAGTGATCTTTTGAAAATGAATATTTAATATTTCCTTTCTGCTCAGAACGCTTCAGTGGCTTCTCACCGCTCATAGGGTGAAGTTCAGGTTCCCAATATGACATCTCTAGCTTCACCTCATGGCCCATCCCCTTGCTTTCTTCACTCTCAGTCTTTTCTATTTATTGAATGTCCTATGCTCCTTCCAGGCTCTGAACCATCACATGTTCTTGACATATCACTTCTGTCTCAGCTTAAACTTCACATCCTTCATGATTTTTAAGACTTAGTTTGGTGTTTTCTATTATAATATTTTATCCGGAACTCCAGTGTTTTTCCTTCTTAGTCCATAACACGGTTTCATTATAAATTAATGTATGTCTCCCCATTAGTCTCTCAGCTTTGAGGGGAAGGCACTCTATCATTTTATTTTTGTCATATTGTGCCAGCGGCACTTGGTAGCATTCAATATTCTTTGAACAGATAAAAAGTAGGACTTGCCACCCTAACCGGTTTGGCTCAGTGGATAGAATGTTGGTCTGCGGATTCAAGGGTCCAGGTTCGATTCTGGTCAAGGGCATGTACCTTGGTTGTGGGCACATCACCTGTAGGGGGTGTACAGGAGGCAGATGATCGATGTTTCTCTCTCATCGATGTTTCTAACTCTCTATCCCTCTCCCTTCCTCTCTGTTAAAAATCAATAAACTATATTTAAAAAAAAGAAAAGAAAAGTGACAAGGGGTGGAAGAAGTTGGGGAGTAGGGAATGTTGCAGACTTCAGAAACAATAGCAGGTGCAAAGACCTGTGTTGAACAACACCTTGCACATTCAAGGACTTAGAAGAAAATGCGAGTAGTAAGGCGTTCAGCAAATGTTTGTTGAGTACCTGTTTGTGTGTTGGGCCCTGTAGTGAGGACTAGGAGCATAAAGATAAATGGGTTGATTTTTGCAAGTTAGGAGCTCATAACTAGATACATGAATGAGCAAGTATAGTCAACATGATGAATACTCTAATGGAGAGAGCAGAGGGGCTGTAAGAACCAAGTCTGTGTGGGTTGTGAAAGGCCGACCAGGAAAGGTGACAGCTGAGCTATTCTTTGAAGGCTGTGTAAGAGTTAGTCAGATGGAGGTGATGGATATGGTGAGGACATTTCAGACAGATGAAGGGTATGATTAGACAGCAGGGTTTAAGGGCCAGTATAGGAGATCTGAGCCCAGGTCATGTAAGATTATCAGCCTTAATCTTAACAGTTTAAGATTTTAGTTTTCATTCTGAGGATGATATAAAGATATGAAAGGATTTTAAGCAGAGAAAATGGCATGATGAGATTTTTGGAATAAGGTGAATTGACCTGGAGAAACTGGAAGCCTGACACTAACATTTCAGAGATGGGACTTTGGGAACCCTTGGCAGAATTGGGGAGGAAAATAACACTGAAAGAGACAGCAGAGGGGAGTGGTTAATGGCACTAGCCTTGGCATTTCATCACATCTGAACTCGAATCCCAGAAATGGTCCATCTACTAGATCTGAGACCTTGGGTAAACCTCAGTTTCTTCATTAGTAAAATGTATGTAATCATACTGACCTCACAGGTTTTTAATGATTTAACTAGAATAGTATACACGGGGCCTGTCCCTGGTATTCTGTAAAGAATATTTTGTTATGAGGGTTAAATAAGAGAAGGTCTGTGAAAGGTCTAGCATGGTTCCTATGTACTCCAGAAACGGCATTTGTAAGTACTTGGTATCATCGTTGCATTCGCCGTTACTATGATGCCTTTCCCCTGGTTTCCCGTGTTTTTCAACTTGAGGTGGTTAGCAAGTCTCAGGTCAAGGCCCTCCTTGGCAGCCAGAGCTCCAGTGCTGGCTGGGCTCAGACAGTTGGGTAAGGAGAATTGGCCAGGGCCAGTGCATGGGTGATGTGGGATGTCCTTGGATACACCCAGGTTTACCCGCCCAGCCAGTCTCCAGGGCTTTGGCAGGTAATTGATGCCTCTTCTTCTGTGAGCCAATGAGCAAGCAAGAAGCCAGGGAGGAAGCACACAGCCTCCTAAGTGCCTATTGGCTGCAGTTCCTTTTGTTGCTTAGCAACTCTTCCCCTTTTCAGCTCTGCTCCTGGATCTGTAATTGCAGGTCTGGGCTGAGCTCAGTGTGAGTGGCAGCTAAGGAGTCCCAGCAGCCCTGCTCCAGCAGTTCAAGCTAATCGACTGCAATCAGCCCACTTGAACCCAATCTCAGCCATGGCACTAAAGACATCCTCTCTTATCTCCCTCCCCAAACTTTAGGTCTGTTTTCCTGTCTACTCACAAGTCTCAGGCACAGGTGCCCAGGGGTAAGAAATCTACGCAAGAGTTTCCCCAGTGGGTGGGCTGCACCCAGCTCGGAGTTCCAGTTTGGACCTTGCTGTGTTGTAGTCTAGTTTCCTAGCTTTGGCTTGAGAAAGTCACCTTCAGTGGTTTTGACTTCTGGGTCGTCCAGCACTGCCTTACCCAGGTTTCATGACATCAGCCCTCCCCTTGACTAAGCTTGCACTTGCCACCTTTCCCCTCTCCTCCACAACTGCTGCTGCTTGCCTGACTGTCCTTTGAAATGCCCTCTTCCCCACCCCGCAATATGTTTTTTAATTCTGGAAAAGCTTTTCATCGGTAACTGATGAGGAGAGAAGGTGAATTAGGCTCTTGGAAGGCCCCATCAGTTAGGACTTGAGATATGGTCTGAGATCAGTATAGATGCTTTGGGGAAATTCAGGTTGGACCCTGAAAGAGATGCAGACCTACAGCAGTATACGGACCTTTCTCAGCTTGGCACCTACCTCTCACTTGCTATATGACCTTGAGTAATACTCTGAGTCCTTCTGGGCTAGATTGTCCTTGATTTATCTTATTATAAAGCTCAGATGAGAGAAGTTAAGAAAATTCATTGAGGACCTATTGTATACATGGATTTTGGCAGGTGTGGGGCAGCTTTGGAATGCAGTGGGAGTGCTGTGGGGGCAGGGCACTGCCTCCTGCTCCCATCTCTGCAGCTGGGAACTCAGGGATCTTGGCCTTGGCCCTGCCCCTGCTCTTTGTGCCAGATCTGGCCTGAAGGTGCCCATTGTCTGGTGGTACAGCCTGTGTCAGGGTCATGAGAAGCTCTCCCAGCTGTCTCTAGGCAGCGCCCTCTGGGGCTATCTCTGGTCTGAGATATCCTGGTATGGACGTCTTATCTCACCAAAACAGGGGTGTGGAGAAGGCCAACATATTGGCCTGGTTGCCTCTGTCCACATTTTACCCCTAAGGTTATTAGGTCATTTACCTAATAATCTGCTTGGGGCAAGTCCATGTTGAACTCCTGGGCACTCAGTCCCGTTCCCCTCCCCCTCCCCTCCATAGATTGGTATGGTGATGCATGATTGACAGCAGAGGAGTCCCAAGCATCTGATTCCCTGATGTGAGTGTCACTTCCTCTATGTAATCTGGTCTCCACAGAACAGGCTACTGGGGAGGAGACCAGTGGGAGGGAGCTAGCCTTCCCTCAGACGCTTTTGTGTACTGTGCTTCCTCTGCTGCTCCTTCAGGGGTCATTGTGCTTCTGGACTCTGACCTGGACCATCTTCTCTCATTCAACACTTTCTTCCTGAGCAATTCTCATCTACTCCTGTAACTCCAATTACCAGCTCTTCTCTGATGACTCCAACATCCATGTCTCTTGTTCTAACCTCTCTATTGAGTTTCCTGTGTGTGTTTGTTTTTTTCAAATACTAAATCTTTTTTATTTTATTACATTCATATCCATATACTTAATTTTTTCTCTTTCTAAATTTTTTTTTAATTTCTTTATTGCTTAAGGTATTACATATGTGTCCTCATCCCTCCATTAACCCCCAACATTCCCCCCAACTCATGCCTTCACCCCCCTGGTGTCCAGTGTCCTTTGGTTAGGCTTATATGCATGCATACAAGTCCTTCGGTTGATCTCTCCCCCTTACCCCCACCCTCCTCTACCTTCCTGCTGAGGTTTGACAGTCTAATCAATGCTTCTCTGTCTGGATCTGTCCCTGAGTTTCATGTTTTTAAATCCAACACTCTGGACACTTCTACCTGCATATCTCCTCAGGTACCTCTGATTCAACATGTGTCACACCGAACTTACCGCTCTCAGCCTCCCATTAGATTTGTTTGGTACTGTCCCTCTCCACCCACCCCTCCAGGATTACAGTCCTACCATCTACCTGGTTGTTTAGTCAGTAACCTGAGGGTTTTCCCTGACTCTTTCCCATCTTCATATCCAGTTAATCATCAAGTCCTGTTCATTTTGCCTTAGCTCTCTCTAAGTTCATCATCTGCTTTGCCTTCTTACTGCTACCAGATTACATACGAGTTAGGGTTTGGTAGGGGGTGAAGTGGAAGGTGGGGATTGATGCTCTTAGGAGCTGTTGCTGCCTTTTAAAGTCTTTAACATGGTTCCTGTTAACTCTTCTGTCTCCCATCCTGTTCAGTCTCCCTGAACGGTATCTGTATTCGTTTCCTAGACCTACTGTGCTAAAGTACCACACACTGGGTAAACAACAGAAATTTACTGTCTCACACTTGTAGAGGCTAGAGGTCTGAAATCAAGGTTTCAACTGCCTCTGAAACCTATAGGAGATTCCTTCCTTGCCTCCTCCTAGCTTCTGGTGGTTTGCTGGCAACCTTTGGTGTTCCTTGGCATGAGCTGTATAACTCCAGTCTCTGCCTTTGCTATCACATGTCACTGAAGGTCTCAGTCTTCACATGGATGTCTTCTTATAAGGACACCAGTCATATTAGGAGCCCCCCTACACTGTGACCTTACCTGCAATGACCCTATTTCCAAATAAGGTTACATTCTGAGGTACTAGAGTAGGGGTGTTGAACTCAATCAGAGAAGGGGCCAAAATCTAAAATCCAGCCTAAATCGCGGGCCGAATGGTTTACTGAACAGTCATAAACTGTCATTGTGATGGAAACGCAGCGGAGTGCAGTGATGACAGCGCGGTGCGGGCCACATTGCAAGGCCTGGCGGGACGGATTTGGCCTGCGGGCCTTGTGTTTGACACATGTGTACTAGAGGGTAAGACCTCAACATATTTTGCAGAGGCGGGAGGCAAAGGGGGAAGGAACAATTCAGCCTGTAACAGTCTGCCCTCTAGCACCTCCAAATTTATGTCCAACCCACATGCAAAATACATTCACCTCATCCAATCTCTCCCAAAGTCTTATTGCATCCCAGCATTAATTCTAATAGGAACGTACAATCCAAACCATAACACTGACCTTATACTTCCTTTCCAGAGTTTTCCAGGGGGTCTCTGACCTAAGCTTCTTCCCAGCATGGGCAGCTGCCATGTAGGCCCTGATCTCTCTTTTGCTTTGGATTTGATGTGAGGGGGGGAACTTCAATGGAAAACTGGGCGAATGTACCTTTCTTTCAAACCTGGTGAGGGATGGGCAGACAGCTCTGATGGGTCTCCTCCCCCTCATGCCTCCAGGTATGTGAACACACTCCTGAAACTCATCCCACTGGTGCTGGGACTGCAGGAGCAACTGCGACAGGCAGTGCAGAATGGGGACATGGAGACCTCCCATGGCATCTGTCGCATTGCTGTGGCCCTTGGCGAGAACCACTCTCGGTGAGGAGTGGAGCAGCTGGGGGTGGGATAGCAGGGCGCCGTAAGGAGGGAAGGTTATGGAGCCTTCTTGAGTGACCTTCTGTGTCTCCTTCCTCCAAGGGCCTTGCTTGACCAAGTGGAGCACTGGCAGAGCTTTCTGGCCCTTGTCAACATGATCATGTTCTGCACGGGTATCCCTGGCCACTATCCTGTCAATGAGACCACCAGCTCCCTGACACTCACCTTCTGGTACACGCTGCAGGTGTGTCTGTGTGACCTCCAGGAGGAGGGGGCCATGATGGGAGAAGGTGGCTAATGGGCTTCTGTGGCTGCTGGTGAGGTGGCTAATACTCTTCCCTGGCTCTCAGGATGACATTCTGTCCTTTGAGGCAGAGAAGCAGGCTGTGTACCAGCAAGTGTACAGGCCAGTCTACTTCCAGCTGGTGGATGTGCTTCTGCACAAGGCCCAGTTCCCTTCTGATGAGGAATATGGATTCTGGTCCTCAGATGAGAAGGAGCAGTTCCGAATTTACAGGTGACGGTAGCAGGTCAATCCTAGCTCTAAATGGAGTCCTGAAATAATGAAGGCAATGAGGGGAGGGCCCCAAGGACAGGCTTCCTGGATCCTGGAGCTCCTTTCTTACTGTCTGTGTACTTTTACATGGTCGTGAGGTTACCAGGGTGGGTTCCCGGGCTTGGGGGCAAGATGCAGGCTGTGTACAAGGTCTTCATCTGCTTCTCAGGGTGGACATCTCAGACACGCTCATGTATGTTTATGAAATGCTGGGAGCCGAGCTGCTCAGCAACCTCTATGACAAGCTGGGCCGTTTGCTCACCAACTCAGAGGAGCCCTACTCCTGGCAGGTATCCCTCCAGCCTGATTCCCTCAGCCCTCCTAGATCTGTCACACCCTGCTCTTCAGCCAAGCCAACGGCCCCCTCTTTCCCCAGCACACAGAAGCCCTGCTCTATGGCTTCCAATCCATCGCAGAGACCATTGATGTCAACTATTCTGATGTGGTGCCTGGGCTCATTGGCCTCATCCCACGGATCAGCATCAGCAACGTGCAGCTGGCGGACACCGTCATGTTCACCATTGGTGAGGCCTGGTACACACCCATGAGCACATTCTAGAGCCATAGGTGCCCATCCCCCAGCTACAGCCAGCCTGCTGGGTCCCATCCAAAATGAGAGACACACATGCCCACACACACAGTCCGTGTCACAGCCAACTAACTGTCCTGGCACATCTAAGGTGTCCTTCCTCATGAGTGTACTGAGCTGCAATAAAATGAGACTGGTCCACTGCAATTCAGTGAGGCTAGTCCTGCTTCTCCACCTTAAGGATCATGTTTGATCATGTGCATGCATATTTGCCTATTCAGTCCTCTGAATGAACAGTGCTCTGTATTGGGCCTGCAACTTGACCTTGCCCGGCAGCTCTGCCTGCCTTGCAGGGACATGGTCTGCCTCAACTATCCTCTCCTCTCTCTCTCCCTCCCTTCTTCCTCCAGGAGCTCTGTCTGAATGGCTGGCTGACCACCCCGTCATGATCAACAGCGTTCTTCCCCTTGTACTGCACGCCCTAGGCAATCCTGAGCTCTCTGTCTCTTCTGTGTCCACCCTCAAAAAGATCTGCCGAGAATGCAAGTATGACCTGCCACCCTATGCTGCCAACATCGTGGCAGTCTCCCAGGTATGCAGGGGCCCTGGGTGGAGTGGGGTGTCAGGCACACTCTGCGCTGCTCTGATACCATATTTCTTCTTCTTATCCCTAGGATGTGCTAATGAAACAGATCCACAAGGTGAGCTCAAAAGTTTCTAGGGGGCTCCCTGGGGATATTGTAGGAACCACAGAAATTCTGTCTTCTGCCTTGTTCTTTACCCTCTGTTCTTGGAAGCTTCCCAGTTGGTTCCTTCTTCCCACCCACAACCAGATGTGTCCAGGACTGACCCTCCATGTTCTGTCCCACAGACAAGCCAGTGCATGTGGCTGATGCAGGCATTGGGCTTCCTGCTGTCAGCCCTGCAGGTGGAGGAGATCCTTAAGAACCTGCACTCGCTCATCTCGCCCTATATCCAGCAGCTGGAGAAGCTGGCAGAGGAGATAGTGAGTGAGAGCTGTGTGTGTGTGTGTGTGTGTGTGTGTGTGTGTGTATGTGTGTGGCCAGGGAGGAGCAGGGGTGGGATTCTGGGGCTTCCCTTTGTGTGGACTGTGCTGCTGAGGGATAGGGTTGGAGCTGGCGGTCAGGGCTGGGGCCAGGGAGCCAAACTGGGACTGGAAGATCCAGAACTTGTTTGTCTTCTCCCCATAGCCTAATCCCTCCAACAAGCTGGCCATTGTCCACATCTTGGGGCTTCTCTCCAACCTCTTCACCACGCTGGATGTTAGTCATCATGAGGATGATCATGAAGGCTCTGAGCTCCGGAAGCTGCCAGTACCACAGGGACCCAACCCAGTGGGTGATGTTGTCATTGCCATTGCCCCCACCTCCCAACCCTGTGGGAATGTCATTGTCACCTCCAGTTCTATGGGTAATATTGTCATTGTTCCCTGTGGCATGATGCATTTGATCCTGTGAATGATTCTATCATTGCCCCCCCACTCCGGGGAGTGATGTCATTATCTCACCCTGTGGGTGGTGTCTTTGTCCCCAGCCCAACTAGGATGATGTCATTGTGGTTTCCCCCCCCCCCCCCCATAAGGGACACTGACATTATATTTCAGCCCCTAAGTGATGTAATTATGGGCCCTTCTTTAACCCCTAATTCCGGGGCCTTATTGCTTCAGCATTCTTTGTTCCCCATGGGCACCAAGGATGCTTACGGTACATGCTCTGCATGTAATAGTTTTTACCTTCAAGTTGCTCCCAATCTAGAGGAAATACATGTAAACAGATTGTCACAAAGCAGTGTGATAAGTGCTGTGGTAAGCTCGGGCAGGCACAGGGTGTTGGGTGACCACTTATAAGCTATTTGATCTGGGGCAAGCCTCAGCTTCCCACTCAAAACTGTGAACATCAGAACACTGGCTTGCTCATCTCATAGAATTGTTGGGTAGCAGATGCATACTGGGAAGTTTTGTACAAATGTGAGGGACTGCTTTGGTCATTGTTCCCGGTACACCCTTTGGTGTTTCTCCTGAAGAGTAGGAAGCCACAGTGTCCTGGCCTCTCAGCTCAACTCCCCACCCTAGTTTCAGTTACCCTTTGGCTCCAGACTAAATCTCTGCCACAGAGCCCCACCTATGGCAGTCGTTATCCTGCCTTCCCTCACCTCCCAGGACCTCATTCTGCTCTCTGCTCCTGCAGAAGCTGTCCGTATTATGTGTCCCTTGGGCTGTCTGCTCTAAGCCTATCTGGAGCCAGCCTATAGGCTTTTGGCACTAGGAGTTTTACTGAGCAGAAATAGAGAGGAAGTTGCAAAGTTCTGATGTGTTGTTTTTTTAAAAAAATATATTTTGTTGATTTTTTTTACAGAGAGGAAGGGAAGAGGGAGAGAGCTAGAAACATCGATGAGAGAGAAACATCGATCAGCTGCCTCCTGCACACCTACTGGGAATGTGCCCATAACTAAAGTACATTCCCTTGACTGGAATCGAACCTGGGACCCTTGAGTCTGCAGGCTGACACTCTAACCACTAAGCCAAACCAGCTAGGGCAGAAGTTGCAAAGTTTTAGTATTTTTTTTTTTTTTTTTTTTGTCCCACCACCATTTATCCCCTGTATACCTTCCTCACCTCCACCCACCCGGTTCCCCTCACAATTTAGTAATCTTATGAGCACTCATACTATCCCTGCTTTGCAATTTGAGGCTTCTTCTAAGAGGATCCCTAGAACTCAAATATCCTCTCTCATTCATAGGGCATTGAGCAAACACTCCTCCTGCCAGAGTCCCATTCACTGAGTCTTCGGTACACAGTCTGGGGTGATAGGTTTGGATTTGAACTCCTGGCCTGCTTCCTGCTACCAGGTCCTTCTCCAGTGGGTGACAGTGGTTGTGGGGCATCTTCTTCCTGTGTCTCCAGGTGGTAGTGGTGCTGCAGCAGGTCTTCCAGCTTATCCAGAAGGTGCTGAGCAAATGGCTGAATGATGCCCAGGTGGTGGAGGTGAGTCCCACCCCTTGCTCTCTGCCCCGTGGTGACTTTTCTCAGAGGTGGAGCAGGAGGAAGGTATTGCTGCCCTGCTTAAGCTTGCAATGGTCTTGAGGAAATAAAGGAGGCAAATCCTTTTCCATAGATATAAGGAATCTTTTGGGAAAGCATTCAGAGCGCCCCAGTATCAGAAGAAATGCTCAACCAAAGGTCTGTGATGTGGTTGAGTGACAGCCAGGGATCCACTTTTGCATCAGAGACCTGCCTTTGGTCTCTTTGTAATTCATGATTCTGTTGCTGATGCTGCTCCCTGAGAGGAAACAGTGGAGATGTAAGTAGGAAGAGTTACAAGGTGCCATCTGTGCCCCTCTGAAAAGGGCCTTTTTGCCTCCTGCCTTTCAGGGTCAGGGTGAGACTTCTTTACCTTCCTTGGTTCGCAGAGCCAGGCAAGGCTTATAGGTAAGGGCCCCTTCGTAGGCCTCCTCTGTGCCAGGCCTCCATTCTGTTCCAGCCTCTTGTGACTTGCCGACCAGGTCCCCTTTTCTTTTTTCTTTGTCAATTGAAATATATTTGGCATATAACAATGTGTACATTTAAGATCTACAACATGTTAATTTGATACATTTCTATATTATAACATGATAAAATTGCCATTATAGCCATAATCAGCTCCTCTATCATGTCGCATAATCAGCATTTCTTTTTAGTGGTTAGAATAATTAAGATCTAGTGTTTTAGCAAATTTGGTGATTATAATACAATATATTTTTTTTTTTTCTCTTTCATGGGCCCCTTTGCTTCCTCCCCAGGCGGTGTGCGCCATTTTCGAGAAGTCTGTTAAGACGCTGTTGGATGACTTTGCCCCCATGGTGCCACAGCTGTGTGAGATGCTGGGTCGGATGTACAGCACCATCCCCCAGGCCTCAGCTCTTGACCTCACTCGACAGGTGGGCCTTCTGATTGGGACCACGGTCTTCTGGATTCCATCCTAATTAGAGATCTGTCTGACCAGGATGGGGTAGGTGGGTGGAGTGGGTTGATGGTTTCCCTGCCAGAGGTCCTCACTTGCATTCCAGGGATGCTGGCCTGTGCTGGTGACGCGGGGCCTCGGCTGACCAGCATTCTCTGCTTTGTTGTAGCTGGTCCACATCTTTGCCCACGAGCCTGCCCACTTTCCCCCAATCGAGGCCCTCTTCCTGCTCGTCACCTCCGTCACACTCACTCTCTTCCAGCAAGGTAGGTCCTGACCAGGTCTCTGCTGCTGCCGCCACTGCCACTGCCTCTGCTTCCCTGACTGGGAAGCCAAAGCTGCCCACTATGTTCTCCTCTGTCCCCTGAGTTGCACATGGGACTTGATGGGAAACTTAGAGGATCAAGCATAGCATAATTGTCAACCTTACAAAGAGTTGACACCTTAATTTGAAGTGGAGGAGAGAGTGAATGATGTCTTCTACTGGCCCGCTGGGCTCAGGGCCAGTCTGGATGATGGGAAAGATGGGGACAGAAGCTCTGAGGGGCTTGGGTACCAGGCTGGCTCCTTTTCTTTGGGATTTAATGAAAAGTAGAAAGAACAAGGGCTTTGAAATCAGGCATACCTAGATTCTAAGCTCATCACCACCAACTAGTTGTGTGACCTTGGGCAAGTCACTTACCTTTACAGAGCCTTTGTTTCCATATCCATGAAATGGCCATTTCTTATATTTGATAGGATTGTTATAGGCATTATGTAGCATCTTTTGGGCCCTTGGCTAGGGTTTTTTTCACACGAATTTTATTCCCTTTCAGGCCAAAAGCCTATGGCTGTGGTCCCACCCCCTGTCCCCATTCACTGGCCCTTAGCCTGAGAGAATTGGCAAAAGCGAACTCCGGGCTTCACTACTCTCCACCAGCCTCATGAATCTTGCCTAGACTCGTGGTTGCAGGATTGAGACTTACCAAAGGTCTCAGCTGCAGCCAGAGTGCTCTCTGCTTGTGTCCTCGGTGTCTGGTTACATGACACTGGCCTCTGCTCCGGTGGGGAGATAGCTGAGCCAGAAGGCCAGATAGAGGTATCCTCAGCTCTATTCCTCCTGTATAGTTGGAGACAAGTCTTAGTGGTCCTGCTTCCTATTATCCCACAGTCTGTCCCCTGCTCCCCACCCTCCACGTCCAAAGTCTCCGGATTACTTCAACAATTTTCTGACTGGTTTTTTGGGCATCTGCCCTTCTCTCCAATTCATTCTGCACCCTGCAGCTTTAATGTTCTTTATAACACACAAACCTTAGCATTTTCCCTCCCTGGTTTAAAACCCTTTCATTGCTCCCCATTGCCCTCATCCCATTGGTACCAACTTGGTGTAGTGCCTGCATACCTCTTGACATCCTCTCCTTTCAGTGTCCCCATGACTCCAGCCGCCCAGCCACACTGACTCTTCCCTTATCGTGTCCCATCGGATCCCTGAGCCTGGCTCCCTTTCCGCCCTTTACTGAGTGAGCTCTCGTTCCTTCACACCTTACCCATGCATCATTCCTCAGAAGCTTCTCTGAATCTAATTTCCTGTTGAAACCGCATCATGTATACACTGTCGATACAGTGCCAATTACACTCAATAATCAGCCTTCACGTCTGTCCCTCTCCCTCTCCCTGGACTAAGCCTCTGAAAGACAAGGATAGGTCTCTTCTCTCTGCATCCCCAGTGTCCAGAATGAGGCCAGCATGGAGCAGGTACCAGACACTGGTATAAAAGGAGGCTGAGGGCTTCCTGCCCTCAGAATCTTTCTCCTTCACTGACTGGCCCACCGCCTGCAGGGCGACTGTTAAATATCACACCTGTTGTCTGCAGCGTGACCCACGCATGGTGCACATCAGGCCTCACTTCCCAGGACTGGAGTAACTCAGGCTTCAGATGTGAAGGGGCGGGCTCTATCAGTGGCCTGGAGAAGGAAACAAGGAAGAGATTATTATCTGCTTTAACGTGGGGAAACCAAGCGCTTGTGGCTTGCGCAAGATCACACAGCTCCTTAGTGGTGTCTCAGGCAGGTGTTCCTGCAGTGTCTGCAGCTGAGAGTGGGTGGCCCAGGCAGGAGCTCCAGACGCAGGCCTTGTCCTTGCCACAGGTATCAGAACTGGAGGCAGAAGAGTGTCCAGCATCCTATTTGTTGGGCTTATTGGTTGTCTCGCTGGACAGGACGGTCCCCTCACCTGTATGCTGTCCCAGTTTTGCCCTCCACTGCACCATGGGGCAACACATTAACTGGTTTCCCTCCTCCTTCATGTGGGCTGGTGGTGGGAGCTGGTCCTCGGCCCTGAGCCTGGCTCTCTGCTGAGTCTTTGTCCGTGTGGAGGGGCTTTGCTGGGTGGGACTTTCATTTTTGGCCTCAGGAGGCAGTTCCTTCCCTAGGCCCTGCCAATGGGTTGCCTGGCCATCCCCACTGCACATTGGGCACTGCCCTCCCCAAGGAGTCCTCTGGTTAAGTGGACCCAGTAGGTTCCTTTCCTTGGCCAGCCAAGTGAGGGACACCTGCTCGGGTTCTGTTCCCTGGCTATTTCCGGGCCTGCAGCCAGGCCTCCAAAGCAGGTACCAAGCACAACCAGCTCTGCCCTCCTGTTCGATGGCTAGTGATGGGGAAGCAGCTTAGGGCCATCCCAAACTGCTGAGGCCGAAGCAAGAAATCCAGGGGTGTTACTTCAGCTATGTGGAGTCAGCATCGCTCGAGCACCACAGGACAACTTGGGGGACTGACCTAGGAGGAGCGGGGAGTAGGTGGAAGGCCCCTTGGGAGGGAACTGGGGCAGGCCCGTCCTTCACTTTGCCGTCTCTTTCTGTTGGGCTTCTCCCAGTTCATGGTTTTTGTATGTTTTGTTTCTTTATCTTGCTTCCTGCTGCTCATGTGCCCCCACGCTGTCTCCCTGCAGGCTCTCAGTCCCACATAACTATATGAGGTTGAGTTGCTGTTTGTATAATTTTTTCTTAAGTTCCATCTTTATTATATTTTAGGGCCCAGGAATCATCCTGATATTGTTGATTCATTTATGCAACTCCTGGCACAGGTGTGTTTTAGTTTTATTCATTCACGTTCTGTTCTCTCTCTTTCTCTTTCTCTTATGTTGAAATTCAATTTAAGCCTATTTTTAGCTTTCTGTTGACGAATTTTTTTTCTGTTCAGTTGAATAGAGTTTCTTCATCTGTTTCCGTGGAAGTTGACAACCCAACATCCTCCTTTAGTGCCCCTTTGCCTCAGCTTAGCTCAGTCTTCTACAAAGACCAGGGAGAGGCTGGTCCCAGAGGGAGGCAGCGGGCTGGCCTGGTGGGGGTCGGGAAGGGAGGGGGCCGGTAACTGCCCCGCAGCTCCTGGGCGTCTGGGGTGCCCAAGAAGTTCAGGGGTAGAACTGAAGTTCAAGGGCCTGGGGTTCATTGTCCCCGTGCTCCTGCCGGGAACTGCCTGCCTCAGTGCCTCCAGCCTGCTCTTGAGAGGTAGGCTCCAAGGGCAGGGCTGAGATGAATGTGCTTCCATGGAGCCCAAAGCCCGGAGCCCAGAACGGGCTGCTGGACAGGTTGTGCTGCTGCTGGGAGGCGGGGTGCTGGCTCCACTGTGAGACTGTGTTAGGTTGTGTGTGTGTGTGTGTGTGTGTTAATGTGTCGGGACTTACTTTGTGTGTTTTGAGTTTGGTTTGGTAAGGACAGAAATCATGTAACTGCTGTAAGTAGTATGCGTATTATGTTGGATTTGTAGTTGATATGTGGATATGTGCGTTGGTGTGTGTTTACGTTGATGTGTGTTAGGCATTGGTGGATTTTGAATGTTGATATGTGTTGGAGGCATGTGCGTGTTGGGCTGTGGGAATGTGTTATGGAGGATAGGTATGTATATTGTGGCAGGTCTGTATTAAGGTATGTGTGTTTTGGAAAAGATATATGTTGGGCTGTGGGAACGTGAGGTTAGTATATAGGAGTTCTGTGTTAGGGGGCTTCTGCAGGTTGGGGGGGGGAGTCCTGTGGGTAAAGGTAAATAATGTGGGGGGATTTATTAATCATTCCACAAATATTTATTGTGTAATACATGCTTGATACTCTGCTAGGTACTGGGGGTATAACGGTGCACAAAAGCGGGCACGATTCTTACTCTCTTGTAACTTACAGTTTGTTTGGTGGTGGTGGGGAGGGGGGCAGGGTAAAAGGCCTGGGGAATAGGGAGTGTTCTGGGCCTGGATGGATAGATGTGTGGGTATCTGTGAGGGTGTACCTTTGTGGGTGAGGGTATTTGACTATGCATTTGTGGATGATGTGTTGAGAGAGTACAAGTGCTGGAAGATTGGTAGATTGAGGGTGTGGGTGTGGAGCTGGTTTGGGGATGTGGTGGTTTGAGTGTGTGAATATGTAGTGTGAGTGCATTACAAATGTGTGTGGAGGAGAGGGAAGAGAGAGAGAGAGAGAGAGAGAGAGAGAGAGAGAGAGAGAGACTCTGTGTGTGTGTGTGTGTGTGTGTGTGTGTGTGTGTGTGTAAGGGAAGTGTGTTTGAGAGTAAGTAAGGTGCGTGTGAGTGAACATGGCAGACTGGAAGGTCTGTGAGGGGCTGGAGAGGTAGGGGTCTGTGTGTTGTGCCTTGGGAGGCTGCTGGGGATGACTGCGGGAGCTGTGCAGAGCATCTCCTGTGACCTGAGGATGTGCCAGGCATGTCCTGGTACCACTTGGGGTTGGCTCTCTGCCCCCTGTACTCCCTCCATTCCCCCACATGGCAACACGGCTCCTGGGCTGGGTTTGGCCGTGAAGGCCCTGCACACAGGGTATCTTGGGTGAAAGGTAGGGCCATGGCTCCAAGGGACCTACCCTGTTTTTCCTCTTTATGATCTGAAGGGTGTCTGCAGAGTGACAGGACATGGGGGGCGGCTGTTGGACTGTGTTTCATGTCCAGTTGCCATCTCTTCTTCCTGCGGCTTTGTTAATAAATAGAGGGGCCTACACTGGCTCTATGAATCAAGAGAAGTCACTGCTGGTACTTGAGCCTGCAGGAATCCGTCTCTGGTTTGGGGGGAGGGGAAGGCGTTTGCTCAGAGAGTAACTTGGGACCCAAGCTATCTGCCTTATGACCCCTAACCTCTCTCATACACTGCATTCATGTACACATACATGTACACAGCATTCCTTGGCTGCTTCTCTCCTGGCCTCTGGCACTCTGGGATGGTCTGTGTCCCCAGAGATGGTAGTTGGTTTTGACAGCCTCTATCTGTGGTGCGTGAAGTTGGGCCCTGGGGTGGCAGGTGAGTGGGGGGGGGGTGGGGTTGGTGTTTGCAGCTGGCTGGGGCTGGGCTTACCAGCTCCACCTCCTACAGGCTCTGAAGCGGAAGCCAGATTTGTTCCTGTGTGAACGGTTGGATGTCAAAGCTGTGTTCCAGTGTGGTAAGTGGGGCAGTTGGACAAGTGGGCCTGGGGCCCCCTTGGGAGGCTCCTTAGGCTCTGTCTGATCTGCTTCTGCCTCTCCCACAGCTGTGCTGGCCCTCAAGTTCCCTGAGGCACCTACTGTCAAGGCCTCCTGTGGCTTCTTTGTGAGTCCCATGCTGCCCCAGACTCCCCCCCCCCCCCCCCCACTATTAGGACTCAGAGGGTAGGGGTGTGGTATATGGGTCTTATCTCCAGGATGAGGGGGTAGGAGCTGGGCTGACAGGCCTCTTTATCCTCTGCAGACAGAGCTCCTGCCTCGATGTGGGGAAGTAGAACCGGTGGGAAAGGTAGTACAGGAGGATGGCCGTATGCTGCTCATAGCAGTGCTGGAGGTGAGATGGAGCAGGGGGCGCTTGGTGTGGGTACGGTGGCCCTTGCTTCTGTGGCAGCTGCCCTTTGGGGGATCTTGAGCCTTTGGTTCCCTAAACTCTGATTCTGTTTTTTCCTCATTTAAATGTCTGAAAGTTGTCAGAGTTGGCTCTCAAAAAGCAGCACTCACTTGTCAGATGCAGTTTGGCAGAGGAATGGCCCGAGGGGGGGTGGGGCAAAGCTCAACACCTTTGCTGCAGAAGGGACAAGGCCCTGGTGTACTGAGAACCTGTCTTCCTCAGGCCATTGGGGGCCAGGCCTCCCGCAGCCTCATGGACTGTTTTGCCGACATCCTATTTGCTCTGAACAAACACTGCTTCAGCCTCCTGAGCATGTGGATCAAGGAAGCACTGCAGCCACCTGGCTTTCCCTCTGCCCGCCTCAGCCCCGAACAGAAGGACACCTTCAGCCAGCAGATCCTTCGGTGAGCGGAGCTGGTGGGGCCTGGGCTCAGGTCTGGAAGAGAAGATGAAGCAGTGGTGGATGGTGCTAACCTGGTCTCCCTTCTCTCCTTCAGCGAGCGAGTGAACAAGAGGCGGGTAAAGGAGATGGTGAAGGAGTTCACACTGTTGTGCAGGGGACTACATGGCACAGATTACACAGCCGACTACTGAGGGGCATTCCCGTCCCACCCACTCCTCACTCCTCCCTGTCCCCAAAGAGTAAACCTGGACCCCCACTGCTCTGTTGTCTCTGCTTCCTTTCTACTGCCACCACCACCTAACTGGATGACCCAGAGGCCTGGGATAAGGATGGGAGGATTCCAGGATCCGGGCCTTGATAGGGAGTGGGAGAGCCGACATGTAGCTCCTGGGGTGCAAGAGATAGTGCCGGAGCCACTCAGAATATTGCCGTCGCTCTTGGGGTGGGATGGGGATTGCAGTAGTATCAGAACTCCCTCCCCTTTAAGTTAGTTCCATGTTCATGAATGCAGACATTTATGTAATCAACAGTGTTGAGTACTGAGTCCCTAGTTCTGCCTTGTGCCATCTAAAAGGCTGATCTAGTCCATACTTACCATGCTAAGCTGGGAGGATGGGACTATGAAGGTTGCATGGAGGAAGTTTTACTTTATTTTATTTTTAAGTGTTTTTATTGATTTTTAGAGAAAGGAAAGGAGAGGGAGAGATAGAAACATCAACAAGAGAGAAACATCACCGATTATTGATCAGCTGCTTCCTGCACACCTCCTGGGGATCAAGCCCTCAACCCAAGCTTGTGCCCTGACCAGGAATTGAACCGTAATCTCTTGTTTCATGGGTCAATGATCAACCCCTGAGCCATGCCAGTTGAGCTATTTCTTAAAAAAAAAAAAAATTTTTTTTAATTGATTTCAGAAAGGAAGGGAGAGGGAGACAGAAACATCAGTGATCAGAGTGAATCATTCATCAGCTGCCTCCTGCATGCCCCCCACTGGGGATTGAGCCTGCAACCCAGGCATGTGCCCTGACTGTATCCTCCTAGATCATAGATTGATGCTTAACCACTCAGCCTGGGCAGGAAGTTTTATTTTTGATATAAATGGGAGGCTTCTGAGGTATAGGACTTAGGCTGAGTCCAATTGGGAGGAAATAATTGGAGCGTGGCTTTGAGTTTCAGGATGGGTTTCTGGGGTGGGGATGTGGAGACACCCAAACTTTTACATGGTTGGTGAGGAGGCATTGCAGACCCCAGAGGAAGAGGAAGGCAGGACCTAATGTCTGTATACTCCTAAATCCCCAATGTGATGGTCAGGGCTTGGTCAGGACCAGGGACAGCTCCTGACCCTTGCTCTCCCTTTGCAGGTTCCTTTCCTTTCTGTCTTCTCAGTCACAGTAAGATCTGAGAATAGGCCTGGCTGGCTTCTCCCCATCCTGTTGTGAGTCTGAGTCTCAGAGGTGATAGAATTGATTACTTTTATATTTCTTCCCCTGTTTTTCCCCCCCAACTTTTGCACAAGTTCTGTGTCCATTCTTCATTCTCAATCAATCTCTTCCCATGCCAGCCTTTCATGTGCCATCTCCTGAGGCCACTGTCCCCCTGCCCCTGCTCGAGTCTCACCTTACTCTTGATTTCTCAGTTCTCTTCTCCTACTACATGCTATCCAGTGCTTTCTCCTTTTCTGCTGCTCGCCCATGTTCAGTGTAGCACAGGATCTTGGAGAAAGAGAACTCAAAAGCCCAGCTTCTAAAATCAGACCTAGGTTTGATATAGTGTGCCACTGACTTGCTGTGTCTTATTAGACAAGTAGTTAGCTTCTTTGAATCTCAGCCTCCTGACCTGTAAAATGGGACAAGTCTTACTCTAAAGGCTGTAAACTCTGAGGATGTACAGGGCCTGGTGAACAGTAATACTTAATGTTTCCCTGCTTGACTGACTGCGGATAATAGCAATGCTTTCAGTATATGTGATATGCCAAGGACTACTTTTATTTCTAAATTGTTTTGATCCAACAATCCTATTAGGAGTACTATTGCTACAAGCCCCATTCTACAGATTAGGAAACAGCCATGGAGAAGTTTGAGTTGCTCAAATTGGAGTAATTATTTTCAGGGAGTGGGTGTTTTGGAGAGTGGGCAGTGAGCTGAACCTGCCCAGAGCCTGGAGAGGAGAGCTAGAGGAACTACAATACCCACAAGGCTCCGCATCTCCCCCGGAAGTGCTTACTGTTGGCCTCGTGCTCTGAGGCCGGTGGGCGGTTTGGTAGGCGAGGATTGGGAAGCCGGAGCCGCGCTGGTTTGAGATTGGTAAAATTGCCGTCAGCCCCGCCTCAAAACCCGGAAGTAGTCTTCGGTTGACTCACGTGAGGCAAGGAAACGCGAGTTTTGGATGCGCGGCTCGCCGTTCACTGCCGGCGGTCTGAGTCCTAACCTCCCCGCCCTCGTCCAAGGACTGTCATCCAGTAGGGGCTCTTTTGAGAACGCGGAGACCGAGGGGTCCCCGCTGCTTCCCGTCAGCCGAGCTGTGCCTCATGGAGTCTACATTCAGCAGCCCCGCGGAGGCGGCGCTGGAGCGGGAGGCGGGGGCCGCGGGGCTGCTCACGCCGCTGGCGGACCTGGACCGAGTGTACGAGCTGCAGCGAGTCGTCGCGTTTGTCCGTGACCTGGCGTGTCAGCGGGTGAGGGCAGGTTAGGGAGGAGTGGCTCCCCCATGGGATCGGGGTCTCAGGGTAATTTTGTGCGGGGGGGGGGGGTGGTGGTGAAGGGAGGTCTTCTCTGGGACGAGAGGCTGTGAAGGTTGGTTGGGTAGGGACTCCCTGGAGGTTTTCCTTGCAGAGACGACCCTCGGTGAAGGAGAGGCCGTTTCCGACCCCATGATTCATGCTTCCAGGTGGCCTTGCAGTTCCCTGACCAACTATTGGGAGATGCTGGGGTTGTGGCTGCACGACTGGAGGAGTCCACGGGGGCGAAAATGTTCATTCTGGGGGACACAGCCTATGGCAGGTGTGAAGTTGGGCTTAAGGACGGAGGCCTAGGGACCCAGGGTTTGCGGTGTTTTCCCTTTATGACAGTGCCTGCCCCTAATGGCTGTTCTCTCTGATGCTGCTTGATGCCTGCCCTCCTGACACCAGCTCCTCTCCATGACTGTGTTTCTATAACATCGTCGTCTTCACTGACCACATTTCCCATTGAAGACAGGAGCTTTCTGATGAAACCGTTCTCACTAACGGTGTCTCCCCTGCAGCTGCTGTGTGGACGTGCTGGGTGCTGAGCAAGCTGGAGCTCAGGCCCTTGTACACTTCGGCCCTGCCTGCTTGAGCCCTCCGGCCCGCCCACTGCCGGTGGCCTTCGTCTTTGGTCAGCGTCCTGTGGCCTTGGAGCTCTGCGCCAAAGCCTTTGAGGCCCAGAATCCCGACCCCACAGCCCCTGTGGTGCTGCTGAGTGAGCCGGCCTGTGCCCATGCCCTGGGTGAGGGCTTTTGCCTGGGCGTGCGGGGAGAGGGGGTCAGCTGTTTTGTTCCTCATGTCCCCATGTCAGGACATCCCAGAGCGTTCTCAGTGTGAGCTGGACCCCAGCCTTTGCTTTGGGGTCACACTCCGTCTTCTGGGGAACAGGGGGAGCTGCTGCTCTGCCAGGCCCCAACCCTGACACCGCTTCCTTCTTCCAGAGGCCCTGGCCACTCTCCTTCGCCCACGGTACGTGGACCTGCTTGTCTCCAGCCCGGCTCTTCCCCTGCCCGTGGGCTCCCTCAGTTCGGAGCCTGGACCCCTGGAGCGTTTCGGGCGTCGCTTCCCCCTGGCCCCGGGAAGGTGTCTGGAAGAGTACGATGCCTTCTATGTGGGAGGCTCTGGGGCCAGCTCTGACCCTGACCTCGATCCTGACCTGGGCCGGCTGCTCTTGGGCTGGGCACCTGAGCGCTCCTTCTCCTCCTGCCGCCCAGACACAGGGGGGACTCGTGATGAAGGCGCCCGGGCGGGGCGGCTGAGGGCACGGAGGCGATACCTGGTAGAGAGGGCCAGAGACGCTCGCGTGGTGGGGCTGCTGGCGGGCACGTTGGGCGTGGCCCGACACCGGGAGGCGCTGGCACACTTGCGGAACCTGACGCGGGCCGCCGGCAAGCACAGCTATGTGCTCGCTCTGGGGCGGCCCACGCCTCCCAAACTCGCCAACTTCCCTGAGATCGATGTCTTTGTGCTGTTGGCCTGTCCTCTTGGTGTCCTAGCTCCCCAGCCTTCTGGTAGCTTCTTCCGGCCTGTATTGTCACCATGTGAGCTGGAGGCTGCCTGCAACCCTGCCTGGCCCTCTCCAGGCCTGGCTCCCCACCTCACACACTACGCCGACTTATTACCCGGTGAGTGGCGGGGCACTGCCTGAGCTGGAAACGGTTTGGGGCGTGGGAGCAGGGGGCCAGTATGGATCATCTCCCTCCCTCCCAGGCTCCCCCTTCCACGTGCCCCTCCCGCCGCCTGAATCGGAACTGTGGGACATCCCAGATGTGTCCCTCATTACGGGGGAGCTTCGACCTCTGCCTGCCTGGAAGCCACCCAATGACCCTGGGTGCTCAGCCCTGACCCCGCGGCCTCAGCTGGAGCTGGTTGAGAGTAGCCCTGCAGGTGAGTGTGCCACGTCTCCACTCCCATCGGGATTCTCCTGGATCCCGCCCACTCAGCTTCAGCCCCCTCTCTGCAGCCTCGTTCCTTAGTTCCCGGAGCTGGCAAGGGCTGCAGCCTCACCTGGGTCAGACACCCGTGACAGGAGTCGTGAGCGGAAGACGGGGAATTGCCATCGCCTATGAGGATGAGGGGAGCAGCTGACGCCCTGGGGGGCCGGAGACACAGGTGGACTTAAGGATCACTATTCCAGTCCCAGCTGCTGCGGGCTTCAGTGCAGATGTGGCCACGTCCCGGAGCCACACCATGCACAACCGGTTCCGAAAATGGCACAGAAAAGGCATCAAGAAGGAACTAGATCCAAAGTTCCTGAGAAACATACGCTTCGCCAAAAAGCACAAGAAGAGGCACATCATCAACACTAATGCCATGAGCACATGTGCCAAGGCTATCAAGGCCGTCATAAAGCCCACGGAAGTCAGGCCTGAGATCCCCAAGGGTGGCAGCTGCAAGCTCAGTCAACTTGTCTACATCATTCACCCTGAACTTGGAAAATGTGCTGTGTCCCCATCACTAAGGGTCTCGGGTCCTGCTGGCCAAAGGCCAAGGCAACACTTAAACCACATGTGTCAAACACAAGGCCCGCGGGCCAAATCCGTCCCGCCAGGCCTTGCAATGTGGCCCGCACCGCGCTGTTATCACTGCACTCCGCTGCGTTTCCATCACAATGACAGTTTATGACTGTTCAGTAAACCATTCGGCCCACGTTTTAGGCTGGATTTTAGATTTTGGCCCCTTCTCTGATTGAGTTCGACACCCCTAACTTAAACCAAGCCTCAGGCTGCAGCTGCAACTCAGGCTCAGGCTCCCAAAGGGCCCAGACCCCCTTAAAGGTTCCACAGGAGAGGCCTCTGCTGATGGGAGGAGAGAAGGACTGGTGTGACCCCTTGACTGCTATCTGCATGGAACTAGTGTCCTTCTATGTTGTTTGTACAAATACACCTGAGGCAAGATCTGTTTTAAAACAAACTTTTAGTGCTCTCCCCTCTGCCAGGATCCTTGAAGGAGCCTGGGTGGAGGCAGGGCAGGCAGCCCCTCACTAAGAACAGGATCCAGCTTTGTCTTGTACTGACACTGGCATAGGCTTAGCATGTTTTGGTTTAGTAAAATGTTTGATGTTTGATTGACGGGGACTGATTTGGAGCATTCCTGAAGCCGCCTAGGCCCATCTGTTCTGGGAGCAGCCCAGGGCCTCTGGCCAATCCCAGTTCCTGGTGTGCAGTTGAGGGTCTGTCCTTTTCAAAGGCAGGTTATAGATAGTCTAGACCAGTAGTCAGCAAACTGTGGCTCGTCAGTCACATGCGGCTCTTTGGCCCCTTGAGTGTGGCTCTGCCACAAAATACCACAGCCTGGGTGAGTCTGTTTTGAAGAAGAGGCCTTAGGATAAGTTTAAGTTTAAAAAATTTGGCTCTCAAAATAAATTTCAATCGTTGTACTGTTGATATTTGGCTCTGTTGACTAATGAGTTTGTCGACCACTCTTTATACTAGGGTTTCTCAGCTTCGGTACAACTGATGTTTTGGGCCAGACAATTCTTATAAATATAATATAATAAATAAATATATATATATATATATATATATATATATATATATATATATATATATTATAAAATAATAAAATATATATTTTATTGATTTTTTTTACAGAGAGGAAGAGAGGGATAGAGTTAGAAACATCGATGAGAGAGGATCATCAATCAGCTGCCTCTTGCACACCCCCTACTGGGGATGTGCCCGCAACCAAGGTACATGCCCTTGACCAGAATGGAACCTGGGACCTTTCAGTCTGCAGGCGAACACTCTATCCACTGAGCCAAACCGGTTTTGGCTGGGCCAGATAATTCTTTATTGTGAATGGCTACTCTGCATTGTAGCAAGTTCAGCAGCATCCCTGATTTCTGCTCACAAGATGCCAGGAACATACACTTTCTGATTGTGATAATCGAAAATATCTCCAGACATTGGCAAATGTCCCCTCTGGAAGCAATATTGTCCCCAGGTGAGAACCACTGGTCTATACTTGTGCTGTCCAGTGTACCAGCTATTTTAAACATAATGTAAGATTAAAAAGTCAGTTTCCTGGTCACACTGGCCATACTTCACTGCTCATGTAGCCATGTAAGAGGACAGCGTGGCTATAGGACATTTCCATCAGCTCGGAAAGTTTGTTGGGCAGTGCTGGTTTGTTTCTCAGGGAGATTTCAGAAATGAATAAAATCAGATACGTTTTCTCCTGTTTTTTTTTTTACTCGTAAAACACTGCAGGTCCTATGGGTGGAGACCTGAATTGTCTTTGAATTTCTGTCTTCACTGTAACTGGGAAGGGAGGGGTTAAATAGGCAATCACTACACACTGAAACAATTCTCTGAGAAGGGAAGCCTACCGTCCGCCCCGCAGTTAGTCCACTGCCCACACTGGCAGTCGGACATCCTTCTCACAATCCTGGACTGCTGGCTCCTAATCATTCACCTGCCTGATCGCCCCTCACTGCCTCTGTGTGTTGGCCAGGTTGCTCGCCGGCCTGGTTACCCCTTACTGCACCTCTGCCAGCCTGGTCACCCCTTGCAGCCTGCTTTTTCAGTGGTTTGGTCCTCCCTCACCCCCCTGCCAGCCTGGTGGTAGGCAGCCATCTTGTGAGAGAGTGAGGGTAATTTGTATATTATCTCTTTATTATATAGGGTTACTGACTATATTCCCTATGCTATACTTTACACCCCCTTGACAATTTTGTAACTACCAATTACAAACGTATTGAGCACCCACTGAGTGCCAAGCACGGGAAATACAACAGTGAGATCAACAGAAATCCTTTCATGATGCTTACCTTCTCATGGGTGGGGAGAGATGGATAACCAAAACACTCAGTATGACAAATGGTGGTAAGTGTTATGGAGAAATATAAAACTGGGAAGGGAGTGTAAGGACAGGGAGTTATAACATTAAACAGATGGTCAGAGAAGGCCTTATGAAGAAAGTCAAAGAAGACTAAAAGGAAGTTTACAGAGTGAGTTACTTGGGTAATTGGAGCCAAGAGCAAGTGCAAGGCCAATGTGGTTAGGGTATGGCTGGTATGTTCAAGCGATAGCAAGGATGCCAGTGCAGTGAGGAGTTGGTGGGGGCGTAACAGAAATGAAGTTCAGAACCACACTGATAAGAGGCCTAGTAAGCCATTAAAAGTACTATGTCTTGCCGAAGCCAGTTTGGCTCAGTGGTAGAGCGTTAGTCTGCGAACTGAAAGGTCCCGGGTTCGATTCTGGTCAAGGGCATGTACCTTGGTTGCGGGCACGTCCCCAGTAGGGGGTGTGCAAGAGGCAGCTGGTTGATGTTTCTCATTGACATTTCCAGCTCTCTATCTCTCTCCCTTCCTCTCTGTAAAAAATAATTTTTTTTTTTTTTTAAGTACTATGTCTTGCCAAAACTGGTTTGGCTCAATGGATAGAGCGTTGGCCTGTGGACTGAAAGGTCCCAGGTTCAATTCTGGTCAAGAGCATGTACCTTGGTTGCGGGCACATCCCCAGTAGGGGGTGTGCAAGAGGCAGCTGGTTGATGATTCTCTCTCATTGATGTTTCTGACTCTCTATCCCTCTATCCTTCTCTCTTCCTCTCTGTAAAAAATCAATATATATATATATATATATATATATATATATATATATATATATATTTTTTTTTTTTTTTTTTTTTTAAAGAAAAGACTATGTCTTTTAGAGTGAAATTGAGCCACTAGGGCATTTTAAAGAGAGTGACATGATCTTGCTGAAGTTTCTTAGGGTCCCAGAGCAGGCGCACCACCATACCTCAGGGTTAGGGAAGGCTGGGGAAGAAGGATTTCTGAGGCTCAGTAGCTGTTAGCCAGGCTTAGGGTAAGCACTAGAGAGCGTGCTGCAGGCAGAGAAAAGAACTTGAGAAACAGAGCACAACACCCAGCAGGAAAGGGGTCCGCACTGGGTTGGAGGCTAAGCTACGGAGGCCATGAGCAGGCTCGGGTGTGAGGCAGGGCTGGTGGACCGAGCAGGGCGGAGTGTCGGGGCTGAGAAGAATCTGCCTTGGAGATGCGCGAGAGACCTGCGAGGTGGAGAAACCTGGTAAGAAGGGCGCTCTGCAGCGCGAGACTACATCACCCACAATGCTCAGCGCCTCAGTTCCGGTGTGGCAAGTGCTAGGCCCGCCCCAGCGCAGAGCCGGGCCCGGGTCAGGTGGTGCAGGCGCGTCACGTGGACGAGTCAGGTGACGGTGCGGGCGGCGGACTGACTGCGGGGCGGACGGTGGACGCAGGGTCGCGGTTTCAGCTCTGTCTCCACCGACCCGTGCCCCGCTGTCACCGCCGCCATGACGGGGCTAGCTCTCCTCTACGCCGGGGTCTTCGTGGCCTTCTGGGCCTGCATGATCGGCGTGGGTGAGGCCGGGCCCTGGCGGGCGGGGCCGGCATCCGGGCCGAGCGGGCAGGTCTGGAGCCCGGCGGGGGTCCTGGGGCCCCGGGTCCGCTGGGCTGCAGCGCGGGCTGTGTACCCCGGGCTCCGGGAGTTGCCGCACGCCCGCGGGGGCCTCTGACCCCGACAGAGGAGACCTGATCTCCAGCTGCTTGAGGAGGGGCGCGGGCGGGGGTACGTGGGGGCCGCGAAAGCAGCCCTGGTTGCGTTCTGTCGTCCCCGCCCCCCCTGCCCCGTCTCGCGGCTGTCGCCCCTCTTGCTCCTGACCGGCCTGCTTGGGTCATGAGCAGGCTGCTCCAGTTCCTCCTTCTCTGGTCGTTTAGCCACCCCAACCCCCACTCCCAGCTTGTTGGGGAAACAGCATCGCGGACTGGGCCGGCGGGATCCAGTGGAGCTTGGCCAGAGCCCTTGCTCCCTCCCTCCTTCCAGGGAATTCAGGCCTGCGAGCTGCTGCCCCGAAGGGTCTTAGGACCTAGGTCTGGGAGGTGGTGTCACCAAACGCGACGTTACTGAGGGAGTGGCAGGAAATGGAGGCCTGAGGAGAGGCGTCTGTGTAGAAAGACAGCCGTGCTTTTGCGCGGGGACCAGCTTGACTTAGGTGTGGGCAGCCCATTGAGCTGTCCCATCAGCTGGGCAGGAGCTTCATGACTAGGTTGGGGAGCTTCTCTCTAGAGAGAAGCCCCTAACCGCCTTTTTTCTCACTCCTGCAGGGATCTGCTACACCATTTTTGACTTGGGCTTCCGCTTTGATGTGGCATGGTAAGGGAGGGCCGGGAGAGGATTCCCCCAGGAGCTGCTTCTCTGCAATCCCCCTCCTCCACCCCACCCCCAGCTGCCTGGGATGTGGACCTTTCGGAGATAAGGGCTCTTTTAGCAACCAGTGCTGGTGGCGTTGGAGGTGTGGGGAGTGAATTCTGTGCTCACTTCCCCTCCAAGACTGAATTGCTTTCCTCCCTGTCTCCACACCAGGTTCTTGACAGAGACTTCCCCTTTCATGTGGTCAAACCTGGGCATTGGCTTGGCCATCTCCCTGTCTGTGGTCGGGGCAGCCTGGTGAGTGCTGGGTGGTGTGATTCGGGGGATGGGGGCTGAGTCACAGCAGGTGGTGGGTGGGTCCTTAGTCATCCT